TAAATTTAATTTCAGTTCCAATTGTAATTTAATTTAAGACCAAGCTGAGATTTAAGGTAAGAAATATTTAGCTAATGCATTAAAATGTATTCAAGTAATTTAATTAATTTATTCAAGTAAGGGTATTTCATCTTCGGTTTGCTACAGCCAATAATCATTCTTTCGCGTCCGTCTGCTTGTGACATTGCCCATCAGTCGTTCTCATTGCCATCGTTGTTTCTCTTATTGTTATTTTAACTGTTGCACTTTTGTGCGCATTCCAAGCTTTCGGGCTGCATTGTATCCATTAAATAAGTTTGGCTTTTTCGTCATTCCACTCACGAGCAAGTGTAATGCCACCCAAAAGCGAAACTCAATTGGTAGAAGGAAATGATTTTTATTAACATTATGTTGTTGTTGTTGTTGGAAACGTAGCACTTAAAGGGGATTTTTGCTGTTACCTTTCTGCTGATTCATCCAAAAACAAAATTATTATAATAATAGATGCAATAAAGTAAACATTAATTAATATTTTCTTTGGTTGTGCGTTTCATTCCGTTATTCAGCGTATCTATTTATCTTTATCTGGCAATAACTCAATCTTCTCATCATGACAAACTATAAAATTTATGAGGTCGACACATTTTATAAATAGAATTCAGCTTAATACGAAAGAACCAAAAGAAGATACTAAATCTTGCTATCTCTCAACTTGTCTCCTGATAAAGAATCCAAAAATGAAGAAAAAATATAAAAGAAAGGTCAACAACAAATCTGAAGAGTAAATAAAAACAAACGAAAAAGTAGAAAAAAGAAAAATATATAGTTTAAGAACTTTGTAATTCCGTTATAAAAAAGTATTTTATTTTCTAAAATGATTATTCTACCGCTATATAAAAATATACTATACAAGTTTATTTTTTATATATTTTATCTGTTGTTCAGCACCAAATGCTTAAAGTTCATTTCTTGCGTGTTTAACTATGATTACTATAAGCTAGATTAGCGTGTTGGCATGTGGTATGTTGGTTCCAAATCGTTAATTCACAATTCGCTAACAACAAAATATTATTTTTTACAACATTTTTAGCGTGTCACTGGCAAAAGTTGTTCAATGAAGCTCAATTATTTAGCGCAACCCCATGAAGGTATACCAGATGCATACCTTAACTCACTCATAAAATTATATAATACTTTAGTTTTATATTTAGAATATAATTTATAAGTGAATACAAAGCAATAGTGATTACAGGGTATTCACTAGCTCAGCAATCGCCACTGATTCGGCTTTAATTATTTGTTTTGAATGAATGGCAATTTAAATGAACAACAATTTCATTGTAGTTTTGTTTTATATGTACGCATATACATATATTAAACTAAAATTATAACTGCAAAACAAATTGTTCTGCTGAGTATCGTTTATGCCCGGAAACATTCTAATTCCTTAGAAGCTGATAACAATTCCAGAGTTTCGCTTTACCAATCTGCATTTGCCTATGTTTGACCTTGGCCATGCACTTAGACGAAACAAATTTGTTTAAATATATATACATATACATACATATATGTACATACGTATTTGTATATGCCAATTAGTTGGCTCATTACAAAAACTTCAAACGACCAAACAGCAAATGGCAATTACAACAACATTTGCTGATAACAGTTTAAGTAATTCTCACGTTAGTTTGTGCAGGTAAATGCATATTACTTTTGCCAACAACAAATAATGCGAGCCCAAATATGCTTATATACAAAAGCTGATATCCATGATGATTGTATACATACATTGATGATGTTTATATACATTTGCTTATATACATATGGCGACATACCAATTTCTATCTGAATTACAAAAACATCAAAGAGCAACAACAACAACAACAGTAAGAACACCCGACCCAAAGCAAGATTAGAAATGGGCAACAACGTTTAAGAGCACAAATAACTGTGTAGTTGCTAATGGAGCCGCTTGGGGGATCGACGACGGCGACGTCAGCGGCGACGGCAGCGCCAATAGTGTGTGAAAAAGGGTCAAAGAAAGCAAAGAAAGGGAATGTATTTGTCTGCGTAGAAACAAGTAAGACAAAAGGGGAAAGTACATTGCGTTGCAAAAACTGAAGAAGAAGAACGTTTATAAACATAAAAAGCGGCAACAGCAGAAAATCAATTTAAATTGAATTATACAATAAAGCAATATAAGAGATGCAGGCAAAGAATTGTTGAGAATTGAAGTAAGACATAAGAAAACTGAATGAATAAATGTGAATGCGAATGCGAGTGAGTAAGCAAGAAAGCTAAATAAAGATGAGCTGTCGCGACGGCGGCGGCAGCGGCAGGGGCTGCTGCATAAATTAAAGCCACAGCAATTTTGTAACAATTTGTAAGAGCAGCAGCAGCAGCCGCAGCAAAAAGGAGATGCAAATATTGTGGTGTGGCCAGACTGTCTGGGTTTCTTTATTTCTTTTTGGGTTCCACAAAATTGCTGATAGTGGCGGTGGTGGAGAGAAAGTGATAGACAACCTTGACGCTCAGCGTCAGGTGCGTTGTAACGGTAATTGAACGCAAGTACAATCACACGCACACACCCAAACGTACACACAATAGCTGAGAGAAACACACACACACATACACAGCGTTTGCAGCAATTTTAATAATTTGATTTAAGTCAGGCAAAATTTACAAATTTAGTTGTCTTTCGTCTGGTGAGTTTGTGTTGCCGCTCAACTAAACTTGAATCCGGTTTCTTATTTTTTTTTTTTGTCGGATTATAAACAGAGGGTTGAATTTGAATGTGTGCGTGCGAGTGTATGTGTGTGTGTGTTAATGTGTCTGTGTTGTTAGGAAGAAAATACTATTGATTCTTGAGACCTGCCCATTGTACGAACCTTTTTGTATAGCCCTGCACTTGTTTCAGTCACTTTTGGTTAATAAACTTTTGCATTTTATATTATTTCAAACACACACTCGCAAATATGAACGTGCACAGAGCGTCGCGTAATCCTTGCACTAACACTGACGTAAAACCAAAGTTACTGATTTGTCCATTTACTTTGAATGTTTAAATCTTGTTAAGCGACCGTTATAGACGCGGTCTCACTAGTGTATTTAATGTTATTTAAAATGTAAACATTACGCTTAACCAATTAAAAAACGCGCAGCGTGCCCATCATAGGCGTCACTGTTGGGCAAGACTAAGCGCGAGACTGCTGATCAGTGTGACCGCAGCATGATATCTTCAAAAGGAGCAGAGATATGAAAGCAATCGACATTCCGCAGTAGTATCGATACTTTGAAACAGCTGAACAGAAAGAAATCGAGTATGTTGACGGTTAAGCTTAAAATTGGTAGTGATTATTGATAATACGAAAATAAATTAATAATTTGAAATTGTCGGTATAGTTATATTAGAAAATTGCATGGTACTTAGAAGAAAAAATGTATGATCAAGATTTTAATTTTCAATTAAATTCATTTCTTAGTAACTCAATTGTTATTTTCCGATGCGGGGGAATTTTTGGAATAACTGCGAAGGAAGTTCATTGCCGTTGTTACCAAACACCAATAATAATCACAAAACAACAGACAAAAAGACACAGTAAGACAATAAAACCTAAACAAGACAAGACCTATTGACAATTGTTAATTATAGTCTAGCTGAAACAAAGTACAAGAGCTGAGATAACAGAGAGTATTGATAAAGTGCAACTCCCCGCAATGGTTTGATCAACGTATTTTTTGCTGCCTGGCAAACAGCTGGCAATTCAGTTTCGTTGAGTCAGCAAAGCCATGCGGAACCTAGCTTCACTTCTAACCCTAATATTTGCGATCTCTTGGAAGATCTGTGAGGCCTCAGTGCCGCCTCGTCGCCCCGATGGACGCATTGTGAATGGAAGGGAGGCAAATGAGGGCGAGTTTCCTTATCAGCTATCGCTACGGCGCCTCACCGTTCACATCTGTGGCGCCTCTGTCTTGGACGGCAGCTGGGCCATCACCGCCGCCCATTGCGTCGATGGCCACGAGAAGAAGCCGCAGGAGTTCACCTTGCGCCTGGGCAGCGTGAAGCGCTCTAGTGGCGGCAGCGTGATGAGTGTCCGAACGATCTATAAGCATCCTACGTACGATGCCAAAGACATGAACTTCGATGTGGCGCTGCTGCGTACACAGCCGGGCGCCTTGACTCAAAATCCCAATGTCTCGCCCATCGCCCTGCCCGAAGCTGGGGCCGTGATCGAGGAGAATCAGCTGGCCGTTGTTTCCGGCTGGGGTTACATGAGCAGCACGGAATCGGTTCTGTCCTCTACGCTGAAGTACACTACAGTGCGAACGGTTAATCAGGAAAAATGTCACAACGATTTGAGATATCACGGCGGAGTAACTGATGCGTAAGTAAAGCGAGAGAGAGAGTGAGTGAGAGAGAGAGAGAGAGAGAGAGAGGGCTCTATAGAGAGACAGAGAGGGAGAGAGATCTGATTCAGCCAATATCCAATTAATAACGTATTGTGTTTCTTGTTTCGGCAGCATGTTCTGCGCCTCCGCACGTAACACGGATGCATGTCAGGGTGAGTAATTAAATTTTTGCTTAAATTTGTCTGATAACATTTCTGAATTCGTTTCGGAATAGGCGACAGCGGTGGTCCACTTACAGCTCAAGGCAAGCTCATCGGCATTGTGTCTTGGGGCGTAGGCTGCGCGGGTGAGTGTTAAAATTACTGTATATGTATTACTATATCACGTAATATTCACCATTTCGAATTTAGATCCGTTTTATCCGGGAGTTTATACACGGCTGTCACATCCCTCGATCAGAGGCTGGGTGCGAATGTTAACCAAATTGTAAATTGAAATGTATTTTGACTGCTAATTAAATAAATTAATAGTTCAGATTTATCAAATTGCTTACAAATTCAACGATTTTCTCAATGTAGCATAAGTACTCACTTTTAAAGTGCGCGCGCTGCTCTATCGCTGCAATCGATAGTTGCGTGATGCGCTTGCTAGCTTCGCGCACATCACTAAGACCACTTCTTATTGGAAAATTCGTGCACACATCGTTTCACTGCGCTTGTGATTAACCGACAAATTAATTTAGACTTAATTAAATACAATAATTGCGATTAGAAACGGTTTTTAAGCCAACGAGTCGAGGAGACAAAATACAAAAAGTTCTGGCACGATTACGAGTGGCACAAACGACCAGTAGCAGAGTGGGAGTGGCAAGTGGGACGTTGGTTGGCGGCGCGCATTTCTTATTGGGGTAAATGCAAACTAACAAAAAACTAAAAAAAATCCGTTTATAAATAAACCAAAACAACAACAATTTGTGCGTTCAGCAGCATCTTGTGGTGAATGTGGTGGCGCTGGTGCTGGCTGTGCCTGAAAATGATCTACAAACTATTTTGCTGCACAATTAGTCTGGTCTTCTTCTGCTTCAATGTGCTGTGGTTCTTCTGCAATTTGGCCATTCCCTGGTGCACCCTGACCCTGGTGGCCATTTGTGTGGCATCAAAGTTCGTCAAGTTGCAGCGCAGCCCCAATGAGAAGCGTTTGCTCAGTCTGCTGAACACACCGGACGATTGGCCCAATTACTGGCCCATCGCGAATCGAGGCGCCGGCTACGATGCGCCCGAGAATTCGCAGGCAGCTGTCAAAAAGGTGAGTGAGTAAGTGTGTTTTGTGACGTCATCGGCGGCAGTAGCAGATAGCAGACGGTGGTTGTTCGGCAATCAAAAATCAATAGTAACCAACCCCATTTGCCTTCGCAGTGTCTGGCACGTGGCTATCGAAATGTCCTGCTGGATGCCGGCATTACGGCCTGCGGCGAAATAGTTATTGCCAATCGACTGACCTTGGAGCGAGCCGGCCTCACGGGCAACCTCTCGCATCACACACTCCATGAACTGCAACAGCTGAGCATAACGGAGCAGCATCCAATGGGGTAAAATACTAAAGAATAACTATAGTTTGAACTATGTTAAAACTCTCATTTGCACTTATTTCAGCTCGCAGTATGATCGGGAGTCGGTGTCCACGTTGAAGCAATTGGCGGACTTTCTGGAGGAGCAGAACATGCCGCCCACTTTGTTCCTTCATTTGCAGGACACCAGCGCACTGATGATTGATCAGCTGCAGAAGTTTATGGCAGCGAATGAGACGTTTACGCAACGAACCGTTGTGATTAGTCGGTCGCCCTTGGCCATTTACCAGGTGAGGAACAGATAAACACAGAGAATACTCGTTATAGTAAACGCTTAAGTTTAGCTTAACATAGAGTTCATTTATTATTTTTAAATGTAATAAAAATAATTATTATAATATTTTACATTTTGCAGCTGCGTAAATTGAGGCCTGAAATCATTTGCGGCCTGTGGCACGAGAGCTATTTGTCGCTGTCCATACTCAAATCGTCAACGCTTATTACATCAATTTATGGAGCAATTTTGCGAAACATAATTGCGCCTGTAATTGGCATTAGTGTTGTATTTCTCAACAAGGAAGAGTTCAATTTGTAAGTTATTCAAACCACAACTAATTAAATTTGTCATTGTTTAGTGAACCGTTAATTTAATAATTTGGCAACGCCTCAAATACTGCGCTGCGATAGTTTACCAAAGTTCATCCTTAGCTGCCAATTGTATTTGCTATTAAGTGGCAGCCCTGCAGCATTGATCGGTGACAAATGTTAACCGTTACTTGAGCAATCTTAACACTGAATTCAATTTACTTACATATATAAAATTTAAATCTATTGCAGGCACATAGGCGATCTGTGGCGCAATGTGGGCGTACGTCCAATTGTTTATATGGTGAATTCGCCAAACGAGAAACGCTATTTCCAGAAGACAATGAAAACACAATACCTCACGGACTCTCTGCGCTCCGAGCCGCATCTCTTGATGAAAGCCTAAAAAAAACAGAACGACGCAAACAAAATTCGAAGTTGAGAGCAAAAAACATGCGCGCACAAAGCACACACAAATCATTTGCATTTATGTTTATTTTTAAAGAGTCTATGCACAGTTTGTTTGTAAATTAATTGCTTAATTTGTATTGCGCCGATCCACAAACTGCAGTTGATTTTTTTTTTTTTGCTTTATTGTTTTATGCTTGAACATGTTTTAAAGTATTATTCAGTGAAATTGAAGCTATATTTTATACTCTATGTTTTTTATATAGTACATACATTTATTTTATGCTAAGTTCGTACGTACTACGTACTGTTCGTAGATGCTATTTGCGATAAGATTTTCACACGTCCTTTATTATTATTTATTATTTTTATTATATGTAATATTTATTTATCTCTATTTCTTGTTATATATATATATATTTTTTTTTTTTTTTGTAATATCATTTTATACTCTATTATACCTGCATTTCCCATGCTTTCTCAACTGGCATATATTACATCAACATTTGTAAAAACAAGAAACTCTGCCACAAAATGTTCTCAAGCATAGGATTTATTTATACGATTTATGCACTAACTATACAATAAATGTATAACCCTCTATGGGCAGCTTTTATACTCAATTATACTAATATTTTGTAGTCCCTTGTTATTTAGAGCCCAAACAAATAGAACTATAGCTATGCCTGTTGTATTGGAGACACAATCCGAAATACTTAATTGAGACAAGAAAAAAGTAACTTTGATGTCTGAACGAATTAGTTATACGATTATACCAAAAAGCAAAACTATTTTATAATGATATAATGGATCTATTATGTATTTGCGTGAAGAATACTTTTAAAAATCAAATAAACTCAAGTGAAATTATATGTATGTCTATATGCCTTAATCTTTGAATCTATTTAATTCACCCAAGATGTCTAAGGTCACGTTTTTGCAGAGGATTTATTCAGAGTACACCGTTTGCATTAAAAATACTCGGGATCGACCGAACGCATGTACCAAACCATGAAATATCTATGGATATATTACTTTCTCTATATAAAATTTAAGACATTTTTAATTTTCTTTATTAGTTATTTTATTTTTGTGAGAATTCTTACAAGCTAAGCTATTTATTTATGTATATATTTATATAAGTATTCATATGCATTGTTTAATTATGTATATCTAGAAATTAAGGTTTGTTAAAGTATGTATTCATTATGTATGCATGCTTGAGCTCCGACTTTCCTTCTCCATCTCTCTGTCAACTTTCAGATATTTTTTAATTTAATTTTATTTTTTTAACTTAAAAATTAACAATACGTAGTTACATATATATTACCATGCTGTAAACCTTTTTTGTACACAGGAGGCATAAACAATAAACATAAAAAAAGAGTTTAAAATTTAAGATATTTAGGTAATGGAATCTATTTGCGGCGAGACCGTGTCGAACGTGTGGGCGCCTCTGCCTGCGCTGCTGCGCTCGCTGCAGTCGTTGCCTCCTCCGTCGCCTCGAAGTGTACCTTGCGACCGCGTCCGGCGCGTGCTGGCGCCGTCGTCTCTGGCGCACCATCCACATTATCCTCGACGGCTTTTACGGTTCGTGCGGCACGGCCACGCGAAGCAGGCGCTCGCTTGGCGGTCGATTCTTCTGTTGGTACCACTTCCACATGCGTGACCAAGATCGGCGTCTTGCCCCGCGGCTTTTTGGTAGCCGGCTCATCTGTTGCCTCCTCTTCAGCTACCGCAGATTTACCTTTGCCGCGTGCATTGCGCTTGGTTGTCTGTTTAGGCTCCGCTTCCGGCTCCGGCGCCAATTCCTGTTCCACCTGTTCTTCGTGCTGATTACTGGCGGCACTGTCTTTGCGGCTGCGTGCAACGCGTTTGCCAGTTGACAGGGCAACGGAGACAACCTCTGCTACATCAGCTGGATCGGGAGCTTTGCGACGACCTCCAGCCCGCGATTTGGTGGCCGTAATAGGCGTTCCTTGGTCTGTTAAGGGTTTCTTCTCTGACGGCTGATCACCGTCATCTTTGGCCTTGCGCCGCCTTGGCGTTACGGGACGTTGCGCAGCTGCTGCTGTATCGACTAGTAGCTCCAAGGCCTTGACCGTTGGCTGTCGAACCCGACGTGCACGTGAGGTGCCTGGTTTGTCATCATCCGAGGTCTCATTATAGTTCTTGCGCGGCACATTACGCCCTTCACGTCGCTGAGAGCTAGTTGGCTCTGGCAGTACAACAGGTGGCCCAGTCGGCGTATGGGGTACCAAAGGCTCCACTGTGGACTCGACAATCGCCTCCTGCTTGGTGCTTGGAATCGGAGTGGTGGGCTTCGCTACGGGTGGTGTTACGGCACCAGCTGCTTTACTGGCCGCTTTGCTAGCTGCTGGCTTACGTGCACGACGCGGCGACGACGTGGAGCCCCGCTTATCCTCATCCGATGTTTCATCATAATTTTTGCGTGGCAAATTCCGCCCTTCGCGACGGCGCGGGGTCAGTTCATCCTCTGAGCTAGGTGGCTGTGGTCGTGGTGATGATGCAGCCACAATAACTGCAGACGATTCCGGCAGGTCCTTGGGCACCTCCAGTTGTTCCTCAGCCACGGACGCTTTGCGTCCACGTCGTGCAGTTGCTTTCTTCGCCAATGTTGGTGTATCCATTTGAACTGAAGCCTTGCGGACTCGTCGCATGGCCGTCTTCTTCTCCACTGCAGGTTCCGTTGCATCTGAGTCATGATGCTCCACTTCAGCGCTGGGTTTGCGACCACGTTTAGCTAGTTTCTTAGCTGGCTCCGCGTCGTCCGTGTGAGTTTCATCGGCAGACGCCTTGCGACCGCGTCGTTTTGGCTTCACCTCAGCAGGCTCAGCTGGCGTCTCTGTATCAGTTGTGGCTTTGCGTCCACGCCGCGAGCTGGTTGCCACAACCAAGTCTTGTGGCGGAGCATCCTCTGCGTTAACAGACTGGCGGCGACCACGTCTTCGGATTATGGGCGTTGTTGATGCAGCTGGTTCTTCCACGCGCAGAATCTTCGACAATGGTTCCTCAGCTTCTTCAATAACGTCCATGGCTTCCTTGGCTGGCTCGTGTTGCTCCACAGTTTCCGCAGAAGCCTTCCGAGTATTTCGCGTCGTTTTGCGCTCCGGCAGTTCATGTGTTTCCTCTGCAGATGCTTTGCGTCCTCGCCGCTTGGGCTTCTCTTTGATAGGCTCTTCATTGGGCTTCACGGGCTCAAACACTTCGACGGCAACAACTTCAGCGGATGGCTTACGCCCACGTCGCTTTGGCTTCTCAGTGTCTGTGGATGTCTTCTCTGCCATTTCTTCAACAGTCGTAGTGGGGGTTTCATCATGTACAATGGGTCTGTCCAAGTCACTTGTGTCTTCAACAAGTTTCTCTTGCTCCGGGGTTTCCTTTGATTCAAGTTCTGTTGTCGTTGGCTTTTGGCCGCGTCTCGTTCTAGGCTTATGCAGGTCTTTCGCTTTCGCCGCATTTTCTTCTTCCGATTTGTCCCCTGCGTGTTCTTTACTGTCATCATGTGTAGGTTTCCTTCCACGTTTTGATTTAGGCTTATCAACAATCTTATCAACTGTCTCCTCGAGTTTCTTCTCTGTCGATTCAGTTTGATCTACAGTTGCTTTTCTTGGTCGACGCTTCGATTTAGGTTGATCGCTCTGTTCTTCAGACTTCGTCTCTATATGTTCAATATCTTCCTCTGGGACTATGTTAGGCTTCTTATCGTCAGCATCAACAGTTTCTTCCGCAGTTGGCTCTTCTATTTTCTTTTCAACCGCTATAGTTTTTGCTGCTTCTTTGTTTGCCCGACGCTTCGGTTTGTTTAGATCATTTTGTTCATCTGATTTAACTTCGGTATGTTTTATAGTAGCATCTTCGACTGTATTCTGATGTTTGTTTTCCTCAGCATCAACTGATTTTCTTCCACGGCGTGTTGATCTAATGGAATGATGTGACTCTACCAACTTTTGTTGTTTACTTTCATTATCAATTTGCTGTACAGTCTTCTCTGCTTCTTTTTCTTCTGTCTCGACTGTTGGTTTTCTTCCACGCCGATTTGATTTAGACCGCTGCTCAGGTATCTCTTCATGAGTGACCGTTTCTTCCAATTTCTTTTCATCGATTTCCACTGTTGCTTTCCTGCCACGACGCTTTGGTTGCTGAAGGTGGCTTGGTTCTTCAGCCATAATTTCTATTTGCGCAACAGTTTCTGTAATTTTTTCTTCTGTATCAATTGATTTTCTTCCACGTAATTTCAATTGGTTTTCTGTATGAGTTTCGATAGCTTCCACGATTGCTTTATCATTGTGATTATCTTCTAAAGGCTCACAATTTTCAGCAATATCTAATGGAGATGTACGCCCCTGCTCTTTGGTGTTGTCTGCTTTAACCTTTTCATTTGCTACTTCGATCACTTTGTCCAGTTGCTTTTCATTTTCCACAACTTCCGAAGTATTTCCCATATGTTTTTCCAAACCCTCAGTCAGCAGGGGCTTATTATTTAATGTTTCTGCCGTAATCGTTGCTTGATTAACAACAGCAGCTTCCACATGGTCATTCTCCATAATATCAGCAAACAAATCTTTGGACAAACGCTCGCTTTGTTTGGTCTGATTTTCATTCAAAGCGGGCGTTGCGTTTCCTAACTCAGAAGATTCACTTTGAGGTTGATCCTTCGCGAGCTCCTCCTCTATTTTACTCTCTGAATTTTCAGCTATATCCGCTGGCTGTACCTTAGCAGCCACTATCTCCACTTGCTTCAATTCAGAAACTGATTGCTGTTCGACGATGTGGCCTACCTGTTTATCAGTTGTATTCTGAACGACAGTTTCGTGTGTGGGCGTAGAAGTCGAAGTGCTTTCTTCAGAGATTTCAACTGATACTTGTTCTAGTGGTTGATTAAGCGTAGGTATTCCCGCTTTTCTGTATAAACTTTGTTGGTCTCTCATCGAGTTGGAATCAGTTGAGGAATCGTTTAGTTCAATTACCCCATCATCTCCAATGGAACATTTAGGTTCGGCGATAGAGCTAGATTCCGCAGTTGAATCGTCTAGTTCAATCACAGCTGCTTCTTCAGTAGATTGAATTTCAGAAGAGCTGGGATCAGTTATAGAGTTAGAGTCGATTGTAGAATCATCCAATTCAATTACTCCCTCTATCTCAGTTGGAGCAGCGTCTGTAGGTATTTTTACAGGTTCATTTTCGTCTTCAATTTCATGACTTTCATCCTGGGATGAAGAATTCGCCTGTTCTGTTCCAGTTTCAATAGTTTTCCTAGTTTTCAATTGCTCAACTTGTGTTCTTTCATTTCCTTGATGATCTTCCATTTTATCAGCTTTAGACGCATCCTGAACATCTGGTTTATTGGCGCTTACATCTTCATTCTGCTCAATATCCATTACTACACTTTCATCTTTATTTGCTACAAGTTCAATATCATTTTTAGCCAAGCAGTTGGCATCCAAATCAATAATACCATCAACTTGTTTCTTGGGTTCTTCGGCTGTATCTTTTGTGAATGAAACTTTATCGTCTTCTTCTCCCATAGTCGAGTTCTTAGTGCTTGTAGCTTCAACTTCAATTTGGATTTGATTATTTTTTCCGAGCTCTTTTTCAAACATAGTTACAGTTTCACTTTCCTTAGCTGAAGATTCACGTGTTGTAGGTTCAATAGTGGCATTTGCCTCGTTAGTTTGTAGTACGGTCTCTGGAATAGGGCCTGGTGACTTTTTATCCTCATATTCTTCTTTTTCTACAAGACCCATCGTTACATCATTATGTGTCAATGGCACCTTAGCCAATTCTGCGATAGGACTTGATTTCGCGTCCTCTTTTTCGTTTTCTTCAGTTGTTAATGGAGTATCTAATGCAACTTCATTCTCATCTGCATTTTGAGTTGATATGTCCTTTGAAACGTCATCTAGGCTTTGACGAGCTGGCTGATTTGCTATTGAATCATCCAAAAGCGTATCAGGAGATTCTTCTTTGTCTAAGGTTGAAGCTGAAGAATCTTTAATAGCTGGCATTTCTTCGTGCGGCAAATCATCTGAGTTTAAATTAGTTGTATTTTCATCTTTCGTCGAATTTAAGGTTTCTTCTTTGTCTAAGGTCATGTCTGTGGAATCATCAATAGCTGTTGTTTCCTCATTCGGCATATCATTTGATTTACCATTTGTCGCAATTTCATCTATTGTCGTATGCAGAGTTTCCTGTTCGTTTTGGGTTGGGGCCGTAGAATCTGCGATAGCTGGCGTTTTCTCTCTCGGCACATCATCTGATTTAACATTTGTTGCATTTTCATCTTTCGTCGTATCCAGGGCTTTTTCTATATCTTGAGTCGAGGCAGAGGAATCTACGATAGCTGTTATTTCCTCAACATACTTCAAATGAGTTGCATTTTCATCTTTTGTGGTATCAATAGTGTCTTCTTTTTCTTGGGTTGTGGCTGACGAATCTTTGATAGCTGTTTCCTTATTTGGTACATCAACAGGCTTATTAGTCGCATTTTCCATCTGTTGTTCTTCTAAAGCTTTGTCAACTTCAGGTACAAGAGAAGCATTCAACTTCTCATCATTTTCAGGCTGAGATGATGTTAATACAATAGTATTTTCAATTGGATGCTGTACTATCTTATCGTTTTCGCCGACCGATGCACGAGTTGATGATATCGTGTCCTCTGACGATTCTGATGTTACGGCGGTCTGGGCTTTGGCATGTGACTCTTCCTTATTGTCTTCCCCTTCTGTTGTTGCATTTGATGCGTCGATTTCAATCAGTGACTTATTTACATTGGCAGCAGGAGATGCACTTGTGTCCGCTAAGGATTCTCCTGAAGATCTAGGCAAGATATCATCAGATGAAATATATAATTCATTTTGATTTTTATCATCCTGCTGAACGAGCGAATCATTCTGATTTGTGGCATTCTCTTCAAGAATATCTTGACAGGCAGTTTTTTCTGTGTAATTTTCCGAAAGGCATAAATCTTGGTCTAGCGATGGTTTTTGAGCCCACTCAGTTTCGCTAGAAGCTTCTTGAATAAGTAGAGATTCATTTTTGTTAGATTCGGAAGACTCGGCCTTATTCATCGCATCTTCAGCGATTTCCGTTGATATTGTTTCAGCTTTTGATGTCGTTTCAACTACACCCACAGCTCGAACTTCAGTTGCTTTTGGCTTAAGAATAGGTGATGTTGTACTCGTTTCCATAGGAAGTTCTTTTACATCATTATCGTCTGCGAGCATAGACGTATCAAGTTCAATTATAGACTCTTCCAGAACAATATCCTGAGCACTAGCTATATCTCCTGCTAGTGCTTCAATGTCGCTTTCTGTAGACGTTGTTTTTACGATTTCCGGAAGTTGCTCCTCTAATTGTTGATCTACATCATTTTCCGCTAGCACAGATGCATCAAGTTCAATTATCGATTCGTCTACATTGGAGTCCAGGTTTTCAACTCTTGCAGTTTCCTTAATTTCATTTTTAATGGACGACGGTTTTATAATTTCTGGAAATTGCTCCTCTAATTGCTGATCTACGTCAATCTCTGCTCGCAGAGAGGCATCAAGTTCTACAATAGATTCGTCTGCATCGGAATTCTGAGTTTCAACTGTGTCTACTGTTGCTGCAGTTGTTTCATTTTCTTTTTTAATATGCGTGGTTTCTGTGACTTCTGGAAGTTGTTTCTCTGTTTCATCATTTTCTGCAAGCACAGAGACATCGAATTCAATTACTGACTCATCCAAATGAGTATCCCGACTTTTAACGTCCTCCGGTGTTCTAGTTTTGTCAATTTCTTTTTTATCTTCACATTTTGTTGTCAGTTCCTTCAGTTCCACTTCAAGATTTTCCTTATCTGAAGTATTTAAATTGGTCTCGTTCGAGTCTATAATATCCAGAGGGGAAGTTGTAGCTTCCAAAACGTTGACATTTACATCTGGGATTTGCAATTGTTCTATTTGTTCTTTATCTGATATTTCAGCTTTATTCGTAATATCATTCCTCAAACATTTTATATCTGTGTTTGATATTGCTTCAGGAGTTTGGTCCTTTTCAATCTTATTTTCGCTGGACATCTCACAGTTGAGAGCCTCTTTATTTTCGTTCGTCAAGATTGGTAATTCTTGTACAGGAGAAGCGACATCTTCCACTTCATTTCCATTGTCTTTAATTGTTGTATTACTTGCAGCTGCATTTGAAGACTCTAACTCAATCATGGAAATTTCATCTTCTTCGGGAATTTCACTTATTTCATGGCTTACAGATTCCCCAGTTGTCGATTCCTCTTGCCCTCTACTCAAATCGTTTATGAAAGATTCTGAACCAGTCGTCAGCTTCTCACTCTTTTGGGCTTCGCTAGTATTAAGAGCATAAATCGTAGATTTTCTATTATCAACAGACATATCCAACGTTGCATCGACGTTAGTTGCCTCTAAGTCAATCCGGGATATAGTTTGACTAGATACTTCAAGTTGTATTGACAATTCTTCGATAATTGAGGGTTCAGGTTCCTGTTCGTTTTTCTGTGAATTATCCAAAGTAAATGCTGTGTTTACGCTCGGATCTTGCACTTGGACAGATGAGCTCTCAGCTCTATCTCTGTTAGAAGTTTCACTTTCATCCTGAGAATTTTCTATTTGAGCAACAGATGCGTTTACATTTGGCTTCTCTGGATCAACTTCTATGTCGTCTTCATCGTCGCTCACTACTAGAGGCTCAGCCAAGCCTACCATCGAATCTGTATCAGAGCAATCCTCCAAAATGCTCTTCCTTGGTGTACATGCCTTAACAGTCCCTGTTGCTTTTGTTTCCTCCAATGTGACGTCAGCTGAGTCCACGCCGGTGACAATCAGTGGCTCCGAGAACATAGAATCTGATGTCTGATCGAGCATCTGTATACCACTCATTTCGCAAATGCTTGATGATTTTCCTGTATCCAAATAACGCTCATTAGCATCAGCTTGAGCACCAGGTTTAAATGCAGTGCTTGTTAGAGGGTCTCGATGACTCTCATCCATATCGCCAATTGTCATTAGTGCCTCGGAGTTGACAGTGTCACTTGGCCCCAAAGAAGACGCCAAGGGATCAGCTACAGTGTCGCTGACAGTGCTTACAGTAGTCACATTTATCTCGACCTCGGAGCCCTCGATTGGATTTGTCGTTTCCGCAGTGAGCATATCATCAAAGATCTTGTCCAAGTGGACGGTTGCATTTGTTGCATTTAAATCGTATTCTGTAGTGGCTGCCAATGAATCTTCGCGTGATTTGAGCACTGCACTGGCCGGATCATTTGGTATCATTAGATGCTTACCACTCGGAGTTTTGAAGTACAAGTCCTGCGTTTCAGGTCGGGTTAGCTCCAGGCTCACACGGCTTACGGTCACTTGACGCTTAGGCGTAGCGCTTGCATCATTTGAATCCCCTTCCAACAGCTCCTCAATGTGGTCTAGCACGGGTGAAGCTGGTGCCTTGGGAGTGCGCATCATCTCACGCAATCCCTTGAAACGTGGCGTACTGCAGCTTTTGGGTGTCTTCAGCAGCTCTCGCATACCATGGTAATCAATTCTGTCCGGTTCATCAATCGCATCAGATGGCAGCTCGTTGCCATAATCCTCATCTGCTGGCAATTTGTTGTCTGTGAAATATTGGTTTCATACAACTATATAGTTATTGCTTTCATTTAGCTGCTCACCTTCCAGCTGCACGGCATCCTCCTCTTCCACTATAACGCCCATATCGCCCACAGACTCGTCTACCTGCGCTACTGCCTTGGGTGTGTTGCTTATCCGGCGTACCGATTTGCGAGTTGACGTCGACAACTCTTCAGTAAGGCGTCGCTTGCGTTTGGGCGTGGTCGTGGCCAGTGCAGTGGCTTCGTGTTCCAAGGTCGAGGAGCATGATGCACGACGCTTTGGCCTGGATAACTGCTCATCCAGTTTATTACTGGCCTCAATGGATGCTCGGCGCATACTGCGTCTGGGCGTCACTGCGACTGCTTTAGACTCCATTGAAGAGCGTCGTGTGACGCGCTTTGTTAATGGAGTTTGGCTGGACTGGGCTAACTCATTCACATGGTCCTCTGGAGAGGCTTCAGGAACTATAATATAACATTTTATTCATATTTTATTAATTATTTTAATTAATTGCATCAATTTATTAGAAATACTTTTTCTCATATTCTTCATTTAATTTCAATAAAAATTGATTTGACATTTAATAATTAAATATTTAAGAAAAGTCAATTATTGTATATTGTGTACTCTAATTTTCAATTTTTTTTTTTTTTTTTTTTTTTTTTTTACAATTTCTTACCTTCAGCTTTTGCGTCATCCTGCGGGGTAATGCATACCTCCTCGCAAATTGAGTCCTCGACCAAGTTATCAACGGCTTCTGCTTGAATTATTTACAAATATTAAATGGATTAATTTGACATAATTTCCTATGGTTTTACCTTCTTGATATGTGGTTGTTGGCGTCACTTCCTCGCAGATGTTATCCTCAATGATATCAACTGCAGCTGAGTCCTTTGAGAATTCGGAAGCTGTTTCCTGCAGTACAACACTGTTAATAGTTTCTGCATCTTCACGATTCTTTAAACTCTCATTTGTAGGCGATGCTTTCGTGGATTCGATGCTCTTATTCTTCAGCTCCTGAGAAACATTCGCATCAAAGGTTCGATTTTGGTTGCCTTCTTGGGTTGAACCAATCTCATCCCGTTTAGCATCGTCATTGGGCGAAAATATATTGTTGCTCTCATCCAGTTCTTTTTGAATCGTGTCGTTGGGCTTCACTTCATTCAGGGATGAATTTAACTGCTTGCTGCGTGCCAGGGCAGGCATTTCATCATCATTTATTAAGCAAGCCATCGCTTCCAGAGCTGCTGCTGAGGATACGTTGCTATTGTCGTCATCTAAGGTGAATGTGCGGCTCAACTCAGAGGACAGATTCTGCCCAAGATCCGGCTCGTTGGACTCTTCACGTGGTGTATCCACTTTGGGCGATTCGATGCGTTGCGGTGAATTCTGCTTGGGCGAGTTGAGAGCACGACGGGCCTTAGCCACCAGCTTGTTGCTCATGCCGACGCTTGGACTCACCTTGGCGGCGGCGGCCAGCGATTTGCGCAGCTGCGAGATTTTGTTGTCGCGCGGACTGCTCAGGCAGACGGACGATTGACGTTTCCGTGGCGTTGTCAAGGGAGCCTTGACTGGAGTGTTGGCCATTTGGCGACGACCCGGTGTACGCCATTGCGGTTGCGGATGGAAGGGTAGGCGTCGAGGCGCTGTCAAGCACTGACGACGTGCATCGAGTAGCGATTGCCGAACGGGCGTCGTGTGCTTGCTCTTACTTGCTTCAGGCAATTGCTTCTTGGCACTGGTGAGCAGTGCACGTTTCATAAGCGACTGTGGCGTGCGCCTGGGCGTGGAGCTGACCACCAGCTTCTGCTCCTTGGGCGTCTTGGCAGTCAGACGTGACTGTTGGTCCTGCTTGGATATAGTTGCCGACGATGTTGACGGCGTGGACAAATTGGTGATGTCTATGACCATCGGCGAGTCAGAGGATTCATCAGTGGAGGCCACACTGATGACGCCAGCACTGGCGGGCGTCTGCTTGGGCGTCGCCGACAATGTGGGCCGCAATCGTTGTGGCGTTGTTAGGTCAATTAAATACATGGAAGATTGTCGTTTGCCAGCCAGCGCCTTTTTCGACGTGGATGGCGTACTGAAGTCCATTAGGTCGCGGCTGCAGCTGTCATCGTTCTGTTCGGACAGCACACTCTTCGGCGTACTGTAAACGCTCTTCGGCGTATTTGCCGCTGAGAGCAATCCAACTCCGAGTCCTGTGCTGGGCTTGATGACGCGCGTAAAGGATTTCTCAATTTTTACGCCCGTTTCACGTGGAGAAAACGATGTGATGACAACATCGGAGCGGTCGCACAACTCTAGAATCAGCTTGTTACAAGGCGTCCTGGTGTTCTCCTTGTTCTGCGTAGCCTTCACTAAATCAACTTTGGGCAGTGACTCGTCCACTTCTTGGACAGACGGGGTAACACAGCGTTCCACTTCTGCTTCAGCTGTCGGATCTGTTTCTGCATTGCTGCTCGTGCTGGTCTCCAATGGGGGCGTTTCAATCGATGTATTACCCTCATCGTCTGAATTGATGGAATATCGAAAGCTGTAAGCATATGATTAAAGCATTATCCAATAACATATCAAATATGGCCTTAGTACTGAAATATCCTATTATTCTCTTTATGTTCGGAATTCATTAATTATGTCAACACAGTTAATATATACTTAATAAGTTAACTAGAAAATAATAATAAAGAAAATATATGATATTTCGACAGTTCTTTCGGGTTATATGGCGTAATCTCATTTTCGAAATATCATTAATTTTTCCCGATTTTCAATTATTTCTTTATATTAATCAACAAAGTTCGTATATAGTTAATAGTTTGAATGATTGACAATGTTTAGCGAACAAAATAGTTTTTTTTTTATATTTCTTTCGATTTGAACATGAAGCATAATAAATTCAATAAATTATAATATCTTGCTAAAACTCACTGTTGCGTTAATAAATGTAACATTATAAATAATAGAACTTTAAAATAAGTATAAAAACAAATTAAATATTTTAAAATAGATTTAGTTCCTAGAAAATGCTGAAAATTACTTTTCAATCAAAAAAGAGGATTAAATTTTATAAGATTTAGATTGAAAAAATAAACAAAGCTAGAGTTCAACATTTCTAAATAGACATGTTTAAGTTCTTTTAGCATATATATATACAGTTAGAAGAAACGTGTAGATATTAACCGATTTTTATTTTTATATTATATTGTGATTATATTATATTATACAACCAATATATTTTTCTATGTTTAAGTAAATATTATAATTAGAATTTACAACATGACTTCTTCTTCTATATGTTTCTTCCTACTATAGTAATATCACAGGAAATTACAACTGTTGTGTCTTGATTTCTTGATTGCTGTCTTGAGGTCTCTAAATATATATTTTCAGAGCATATGTCCGCGCATTTGGGGGTTAAATGTGTGTGCTCGTCCTTTTCTTTCTGACTACCTGGGTTGCTTGCTGCCTGCCTTGCATGTTTCATGCTGTGTTTGGTTTTACTTACTTGTGCACGGTGAAGCGATTCTCAAATTGACGACGTGCTCGATGAGTCTGTGAAACGGGCCAAAGCCAATTAGTTAAGCGTCTATCTAACTGCCTCAAGTTAAACTTACTTTCAAGCTTGGCGATGAGTTGGCCGCTTGTTCGGGAGGCATTCGGTCCGGTGTGTTAGGCGCGTCTTCCACTTTGGGAAAATGCCATGTATACAATTCATTAAGTATTTTAAGGCGTGCGCCGTGCACCAATGGACGCTTGGCGGTCGCCGGCACAACCTGATCGTTCAACAGGATGGGCTCGTTGACTGAATAATTGTAGACGGTTACCTAGATATAGCAATTATTAATATTGTTTATTAAATGCCATGCCAAATCGATACGCGCGCATTTTATTTACACGCACTTATACACACAAACACAGTACTCACCCTGCCAAAGGCGTCGCATTGTATCTCGCAGTGAACGCGCTCGGCATCGGGCAGCATCAAATCGGAGCCCAGAAAAGAGCCTACATTGAACTTGCGTCCTTTGGCTGGGTATGCCACTGAAATGCCATCAGCATTCACATGATTCAATTGCGCGCCATCCAGCGACATTATACATTTAGCATTCAATTAATTGCAAATGCAGCTGCTAAAAAAAACCTCTACGTCTGTGGGCGGCGGTGTGAGTCTCGTCGTCGGCGGCTGCAACTTTCGCTTGGTGCAGAAGTAAAAGACAGAGAGAGAGAAAAAAAAAAGGAAGCAGCAAGCGACAACTGAAGCTAGACTTTTGTAGCGCACATAGAAATACCATAAACACTGGCATACATGTACGCACAACAATAATAGAACACTTTTTATCTTCAATAAACGTTTTTACGCACTCTATTATGTATTTTTCATACGCACAAACAGCCCGGTTTTCTGTACAGGAATTCTTTTTGCAAGGGACGCGCGGTGTGGACATGCCAACCTAATTAAAACTGCTGTTAAATTCAAATGCACGAAATCGCTGGCTATGACAGACCTGCCAACTTGATTTTACACATTCCAGAAATTACAAGCAATTGTCTAAGATAACTGAGACTGATATATGCGCTTTTATATTATATGCTAATTTGCTAGCAATATTCAATCCTTTATTGGGTATTATATTAACAACATCTATAAAGCAATATTATAAAATTGGTATTATCGAAAAACATGGTTCGTGATATATCGATAATTTCTTAAAGTTTTCCCAGCCCTGGGGCTTGGTTGGCCTGGCGCTGGCAGTTGTTTTTATAATTTAGGATTTTGATTTTACTACTACAAATATTTAAGTATATATTGTTAAGCACATTTATAAAAGACACACCATGTCGATAAATATAATGAGCCAGTATACACACCCACAGCGTGTGCGTTTGCTGTACAAAACCATATTGAGGCTACATCGAGGTAAGTCATCCCACAACAAACAACAAATAAACAGCTTTTGACTTAATATCAGGTCCATTTTTAAATCGAAGGTTTACCCACTGAGCTGCGCGCCTTGGGCGATAATTACGTGCGGGATGAGTTTAGACGGCACCTCAAATGCAATCCAATGGAGGCACAACTTTTCATGACTGAATGGGCTGTAAGGGATTTACGTAAGCGGACTTGAGTTTTTTGATTGCCTTTATTCTCTTTCTAGCGATACGCCTCCACGATCACAAAACAGCTGGGACTGCGCGGCAAGCCCAAAGGGGAACTGGGAGAACCGCTCGACTCGCAGTCAGTGGAAATGCTTAAAGACGATCAAGTGGTCCAGCTGTACGAGTTAATGCTGGCCGCCAAGGCCCTCCATGGCGACACGATAACAGCAGACGATGTGAGAGGCAGTAATAAATAAATGTTTGTTGTTTTTGTTTTATATTATATGCTCGCGTTTTTCCAATATCTTGTACTCAAACTTAATGCCGTTCTCCTCCTGTACGCCATGAGGCGTGTCCTCTGTGAGCTCTACTTCGTGAAAGCTCGCCGGAATATGGGGAAAGAACGTATCGCATTCGAATCGCTCTTGGATTTTAGTTATATAGAGACGATGGCAACGGGGAGACTCCATTGCTTCTGCATACACCCCACTGCCGCCCACAATCCAAATATTCTCCACCTGATCACACAGAGGTTTTTTCTCTAACGTCTGCATGGCCTCGTCGAGGCTGCCGCATAGCAAAACACCCTCTGGCAGCTCCTTCTGGGTGAGTGTGGTGCTTAGTACAATATTCAGACGGTCAGGCAGTGGGCGCTTAGAGGGAGGCACACCAAAATAAGTCTTTCTGCCCATGATCACGACATTGCGCTTGGAGGGATCATTGATTCGCTTTGTTCTGCGACTGAAATATTTCAGCTCTGATCTGTGCAGGGGTGTATATAAAATGTATAATATTTGGTATATAAGTATATAAGATAATAATCAAATATAAAGCAAGTGCCATAATGCGCATTTTTTTTTTTTTTTTTTTTTTTTTGACTTACTTTAGACGCCAGGGCAGGTCGCCCTTGAAACCAATGCCAAAGTTTTCGCACACCGCAACAATTAAATTATACTTAAGCATCGCGTTTGTCTAATACAATAAACGGCGCTAAAGTGCAACTTATCTTTATCTCGTGGGATTCAAAAACAAAGTGAAGGGGCACAGCAGATCATTTATCGGCCCACTTTGCCGTGACGTTGCTTGTTTGACAGGTTTGCCGCCAATAATTGGTGAGGAATCTTATCGATCTATCGTTATCGAACATATTGAGTATTCAAACGCTTTATTAACGTGACATACAAAAGTTATTTTTTTGTACCACAAACATATACATATATATTTTTATTGACTAGTAAAGTTCAGTAACAGATGTATTATTCTTCTGGTCCCTCAAGCAACCAATAGGTTTCCATGTCTCCCTTGCCCTTGACTTTTACAAAGCCGCGTGCTTCCACCCTGTAGCCCACATCTCGAACTTTCAAGGCCGTATAGTTGGATAACTGAATCTTCCAAGGATCACAGCTGCTCTCCATGCGCGAGGCCGTGTTCACAGTATCGCCAAAGAGACAGTACCGCGGCACCTTTAAGCCCACAACACCCGCCACCACTGGGCCAGAGTTGATGCCCACTCGAATGGCAACATCCGGCAGATTGTGGGACTTCACCTTCTTGATGACCCTCAGAGCCAGGTCGCAGGCATGCTGGGCATGCAATGGATTGATATCTGGTGCCCCGGACACTGCCATGTAGACCATGCCCACAGTTTCCACCTTATAGACGAAGGGCGATATGATCTCTTCGTCCAGCGCGGAGAAAACTTTATTTAGGGTGTTTACCGCCTGCATTGCTTCCTGCACGTTGGTTGATCCACTATCGTAGATGTTCATCACTTCAATGAAAATTACGGAGACCTCCTCAAAGCTCTGGCAGACGTGCTCTTGACCCATACGCATTCGTTCCGCAATGGGGCGCGGTATCATCGAGTAGAGGAGCTCATCTCCCTGCCTCTTCCAGGAATCGGCTAACTCCAGGGACTTTTCCAGCTCATCGGAACGCTGTTCTTCTTTTTCGAACATCATCTCCAATTTGGAGCAATGTTGCCAGCCCGCCATGACAAGCTCTCGGCTCAGACCATGCGGATTCAGATCATTCAGGTACAGGCCAATGCTGTGCAGCTCATCCAGATTCTCTATAAGAGGACTGCATAGGAAAATCAAGGAGTCAACATCCTTGATGTAGAACATTTGTCCCTTCAGGAGAATAGAGCGCAGACCCACTGATGGTCTGCGCTGTCCTGTGGCTGGATCGATCTCATCATGTTTGGTAGCTGCCGCTTCTTCTTGTTCCTTCTCTTGCTCTTTCTCAAACTCGTCGGCCTTAGCTAGTGCCATGGTTTGAGCTTCGTTCAAACTCATTTCGTCAAAGTTCTCATAGTCCATGTTCAGGGCCGCGTCGTAGGCATCACGATTGTGTCCGGTGCGAATCAGCTCCATCTCGAAGAGAACCGTTCGCATCTGTAGAATGGTGTTCCAATCAATCTTTGTGTCCTTCGGTCGACGGCATTTGAACACATCCATGACATGGGTACCAATGAAGGTTTTTGGATTAACTCCCGGATTATGCAATATCCAAGTCTCTATTATCTTCTCGCCAGCTAAAGTGATCTTCATATCGTGATTCAAAACAAACGTGAACGGAAACAGCTCCAGAAAGACATTCAAGTCTACAGGGGGCATCTTAAGCTGGGTGGGATGGGCGACAATGTTGACACGTTTGGCCATATAATCGCGGTTATCAAAGTCTAGACGATACTTCACTACAACCGTTAGAGGACCCTCTGTCAGCTTGATCGGTCCAGCAGTTCCGCCGCAAATATCGTTCTGGCTTTCTATTACATAAGCTGTCATTTCGAGGCCATAGAACTCCTTTGCCACCTCCGTCATCTGGCCGATGAGATATTTAGACATGCCCGTTCGTCCACTGCGATATAATATGACCGCTCCATTATCATCCATATTGGTCAATTGCATGCTGGGTGACTTCATCTTCGGATAGGTGAATCTCATCTGGAGGTGTATATTGTCGATGGACTGCAGGAAATCGCAAAAGTAGCGACCCGTCGAACGTATCATCTTGTCGTAGCCAAAATTACTAAAGAATCGCACGAAACACCTGCCGAAGAAGTTCATGCAAAAGTCAAAGGACTCGCCCGTACAGGCGGAAAGGGCTGCCGCAATATCCGGCATCAGCTTGTCCGGATATATCTGATGGGTCTTAAAGGTATTGTGCTTGCAGTCGACTATCTGGCATATCTTCTTCCACGTATCCATGCCGTACTCCTCCTGTATATAGTGCTGCACGCTCTCATATAGCATGCCGTACATGTTGCTGGTAGTGTCACCCCCAGGGGGATTGTGGCTGAGGGAGAGCTTGCTGCGTGCCAGGTGGGTGGGCCAGGTGCCAGGCCTCTGTGCTTAAATTGCTTGCGTCAAGTTTATCTGCAACGAGGGAAAGTTGGTAAGTGCATAATTAGGGTGGACTGTTACAAAGTTTTTCCATTATTCAAAGCACGATAAACTTTAGTCAATTTGAAAGAGATTACCAAAGGTCAAGACTACGATAGGTCGTTAATTATACTTAAGCTATCCAGTTTAGTTTAGTTTTTCTGACTATCCTCTGTGGATTTGACAATCTATTAGGTTTGAAATAAGTTGTGAGTCTGTTATACCATACTTTTTAGTTAAGTCCAAATAAAGGACTAGCGAATTTATTTATTTTAAGTAACATTATTAACGTACAATAATAATTGGAGAACAGTATTAAGTATTTATTTTTAGTTTTTATTTTATTAAGCAGGCTTTGTAATTGATTAGAGCCCTAGAACTAGATATACAACATATAGACCATTAAATAAATTGAAAGTCATTAATCAATCAATCAGATAAATAACTGATTTTTTGGTAGGCTTGTGATTGATGGCAGATCTAGTTGATTAACATATTTCCACATTTTACGTTGAGTGCTCAACCCGTTTAGGCTATGCTGTCAAGCATAAAATTGAGTTAAGGATTTGACGAATGTCTCATATGCATCACAGGCCACAAAACATGCTCATAGTACCCACGGAAATTCAGCCAAGTATATCTTTCGCGGCGCATGCACAAAAAGTTAAGAGGATTCGTCCCAAGTAAAGAAATATCTTTTGATTTATTGCTCTGGCAGTTTAATTTGGTTTACTCTCACGCGCGCCTGCTTCCGAGGCCTGCCCCACTTAGTCCTCCTGCCAGGAGAGCCTCGTTCTCTATTGCTTGTCACGTTCGTAAAATAACAACAGCAATAGCTCTTAGTGTTGTTCTCAGCTTAATTCCTGTTCTTCTTGTGCTCTTTTATTTTTCAATTTGCCCTTGTAAAACATTTGTCTAACTAACCGGGAACCCATAAATTTTGCGCGAATTTAATATGGCTGGCATAATAAATTTCCGTTACCAACCGAAAACTCATTTCAGAATTTTATATGGCGTGAATAATTTGTTCAATTTTCATAATGAATTCGTTCACAATGCAATTTTATTTAGATAATATTAATTTAGAAAACCTTTTAATAATCTCGGATTTAATAAATTGAGCTGTAAAGGTGAATAGTTTTGAATAGATGTTCCCATTATTCGACCCATTTTTTCAGCATACAGAAGAAACAGCACATACACCCATACGCATAAGCACACTCTCGCTAACTACGCTCCGGATACAATATGAGAGTTTATTTAATTAATTATAACTCTTTTAAGTGGACTATGGACTATGGACAATGTCATTCATGTCTTTAATATATGAACAACCTTTTCTGTAAATAGAATAATATACTTTTTATTAATATATAAAATTTACTTTTATCAGCTCAACAAGTCACACATATGTATTATTATAATTCAATCTTGGACCTAAACAATATGGTTATAAGCAACTTTTAGTCATTGAATTGACGCATATCCCACGAAGAAATGTTAAAAAAAACCTTTATAATTTGTAGCAACGAAAAGTTTAAATAAATAAAAATACATAAAATATTATATATATTGAATTATAAAATATATTGAATTGGGTTTACATTATCAAGACGAAATAAAAATTAAAATGTGTACTCTTTAAGTTTGACATAAGTAATATATATATTTTTAGTATTTTATTTTTATATGTTAATATTTTTAACCAATTTTTTTACTGCTTAGAGAAGCTTATGTCTGATACCAACCAGCTCCCATCATGACAATGTCTTTCTTGTAAGCTACAATTGAAAATGTATATTATTTAAGCTTTCAGTAAGTAATAAATACATATTTTTTATTTTATGATTAATATGTTTAGTCAATTTCTGTCTATACTGCTTAGAAAAAGTAATCCCAATAGTAATCCAATCAACTCCAATCTCGACAATGCCATCTGCCAAGTTCACAAAAGGCTTGACTTATCAAAGGTCACTCAATTCGTGGTAATTTTAGCCCTCGGATAATCCGGATTGCTACTTAACATTCCAATTACCATATTTATTGCCTGTTTATTAAATACACGGAAACTTGCTTACATTATGAGGCAGCAGACCTTAGATTTGCCAATGAAGTCCAAATGATATTCCCGTCTAATATGTATTTTTGTGCGTGCTTTCGCTGCTTTTTGGTGTTAAATTTATCAGCGGCGCATTGTTTATTTATAATTTAAAGTTGGTCGAATAAAGCATATGCTTTACACACTCTCATACAAGCACGCACACACACACATGCATACCTCAAGAGGCGCGCACACAGATTTGCCCGGATTTGTCGCACTTTCCCTTTGTTTAATACTTCGCTGTAGACGACTCACAGTCTGTCGCTGTCGGCTGCTGCTATTCAACTAATTTGTTGTTGTTGCCTTGCCGCATTTAACGGTGATGCTCCGAATGCTATACTTCATACGCGATGCCTTGCCTTTAAAGCTTCGTTCGCCGTCGCCGTCGCCGTTGCTTCGTGTATTTGCTTCGCACAGGGTTTCGCAGAGTTCGCACCGCGTCGTGCGACTGGAGCACGCTGCGTTGACGTCCAGGTCTTTTATAGGCGACTCCACATTTCCACGCACTTTACGCCTTTTTCTCACTTGTGTGTGTGTGGGCTGCCTGTGACTTTCAGTCGCTCGCTGTCTGCCCGGCCGTTTACCTCATCTATCTATCTCTCTCTCACTCAGTCTGTCCTCTCTCTCTCTCTCTTGCTCATTCTCTGTTTAGGCACGCACAGCACTGCTTCGGCCTGCATCATCATCGTTAGTGTTTCATTTCATGTCAGTGCCCCCCTCCCTCTCTCACTCCATCTCTCACACTCTTCTTCCCATCGGGCCTGATGCCAATTGACGGACGCTTTTCGATAAAGCATCCAATGAAAGTGAGTTTATTCTAGCGTCCTTTGTCATTACGTGCTTACGCGCTCTTGGCGCTTTCTAGGAAATACTGTCCCTTGGCTCTGTTACAATAGGGACGGACGCACACACACACAGATCACAGGGCAATATTTCTATGTGTTCAAGTATATTATTATATTATATTATATTAATTGAATTATTGATTGAGCAGAAAATTGATTTAGGCGTGTTTAATGTAATATATATACCGGGTACAGCAATTGCAATTATTTTATTCTTGAAACAACTTTAAAAAGAACAAAGTGTTAGCTAAACAATTTTGAGTTTGGTTTTTTAATTACTCGCTAAGAAATTTCTATATAAATATATAAAGTATGTAGATACCTCATACTAACGTCAGTTGGAGGACGAATAGTCCAGCCCTGGACTTTTTGTCTGTTTTCTCACAGTTCATGAAATGTATCATTTTTGTAGCCTTTGCCTTTTCCTTTGCCCTGGGTGGACTCGGTTGATGTCCCACTGTTGCTGCTGTATTTAATGCTCCGACATTTTCACGCGTACCCATAAAATCCAGAAAAATGTGTCTATGTGGGGGTATGTATGTGTGTGCGTGTGTGTGTTTGTCCTTACGTTTTATACATTATGTTTGAAAGCAATTTAATGCGGATTTTTGGGATTTTTGGGTTGGGCAAAGAGCAAAGAAGGCAGGATTTTTGAACGCTTGACAATTTTATGGCCAAAATGACGTTTCTTAGTATAGGTATAGAGGAGACTTTAATATTTAGCTTAACAGAAACAAGGATGTCCATTTGAGAACATTTAAAAGCTAATCAAAATGCCATCAAGGATAGACAACAATGAATCATGTTTGAATACAATAGCCATTAATAAATTATTATGATGTACACGCAAGGAATGCAGTTCGGAGCAATCGAAGCTCGCAATTAATTGGCTTCACTGGGCTCGAGTGTTACGTGATATATTTAGGTGTCCCCTTGGTCACGCAGAATAGCTTAATTTAATTATTTGAGCAGGCGGGGAGGAGTGCACACAATTGCCACTTAAGTTCGCCGGGAAGTATGCTATACAAGAGTATCTTTTAGGGGCCATGTCTTTGCGCACAATTTGACACGCGAGCAGCTCATAAAAGTTATTAAAAACGAGTAAGCACGTTGTAATCGGTTCCACTCGACTGCCTAATACGCCCTCAATGCGGAAAAAGAAAGTATTATATTAAATTATACGTCCGTAAGCATATCATCTATATGAGAAGTCTCTCTCTGTTTTCGTCAGATACACAAAGTATAACCAATATACCCTTTATGTATGCTATGAGCGAGTATTGTAATATTTTCTGGATTGGCATGGCATGTCAGATAATACGGAAGGGAGACAGTCCACTGCGACCACGTTATGGAAACGGACGTCAGGGCATTACGTTTTATGGCACATAACGATAACAATCGAGCTCATCAAAGCATCGGAATCAAGCTGTGTGGGAAGATGACAGCCAGTTCTCTTTATAAAAAGATACTTGTGCGAGGTTATATTACGTATGTATGTATTGCAATAAAGTTAATATCTAATTGTGGTTTCTTTTCATGGCAGGCAGATGACAAATAAGTTGAGAGGACGATGATAAGATGATAAAATGATACGATGAGTGAAGTAAATGGAGAGGAAAACACTGAAAGGAAGAGAAAAGAGAGAGAACGGGAAATAGTGAGAGATGGAAAGATAGAGCGAGAGTGAGAGAGAGAGAGAGAGAGAGAGAAAGGAGACGAGCAATAGAGGCAAAGGGTTAATATTAAGAGGAAGATATAGAAATTAGTAGAGAGGGAGAGATTACGGCAACGACAGAGAAAAGGGATCCGAAAGAGTGGTTGAGAGAAAGACAAACCAATAAAACGGAAATGGAGAGAAAACAAAGACGGAGAGAGAAATAAAGACTGGAGAGTAGATGGAGTAAGAAAGAGAAATAAAGGGAAAGAGAGAAAGAAAGCTGAAGATACGCAGATAGATAGAAAGGTGAGATAAATAGAGATATAAAGCAAAGGTCGAGGCACGGAATAACTGAGAGAGAACAGTACAGGGAGAAAGAAAGAAAAAAAAAAAAAGCTACAAAGGGGTATAAAAGACCTAAAAAAAGTGGAAATAAATAAAGAGAGAGGGATAGATGGATTTAGATATAGAGAGTGCTTGAAATATCTTGAAAAAAGATAGAACGGAATACAGAGAAACAAAGACCTATCGAGAACAAGAGAATGAGAAGAACAAGCGGGGAGGCACATATAGACGAAAATATTATCATGGTAGTGGTAAGTCTCTATTCATTTAGCTCATACATATTAATACACAAGCTCTATAACCACACACAGTTCGATTAGATCATCACCAATTAAATATTTTTCCCACCAATTATATAAAACACAGTCCGAAAAGGAGATTATATAGATTTAATGCAATGAAGAGAGCTTCTATAAATGCAGTGCAATGTGCTAGCTATATATGAATAGATATTTTATATAAATTTAACGTATTACGAAATAGTACAATAGAAATTTCAAAATTATTAATCTTCAGGTCCTTCCACGAGCCAGAATGTTTCCATTTCACCTTTGCCCTTCACATTAACTCTGCCGCGTGGCTCTACTTTATAGCCCACATCTCGCACTTTCTCCGCCGTGTAGTTGGACAATTGTATCTTCCAAGGATCGCAGCTGCTCTCCATGCGTGAGGCCGTGTTCACAGTATCGCCAAAGAGACAGTACCGCGGCACCTTTAAGCCCACAACCCCCGCCACCACTGGGCCAGAGTTGATGCCCACTCGAATGGCCACATCCGGCAGATTGTGGGACTTCACCTTCTTGATGACCCTCAGAGCCATGTCGCAGGCATGCTGGGCATGCAATGGATTGATATCTGGTGCCCCGGACACTGCCATGTAGACCATGCCCACAGTTTCCACCTTATAGACGAAGGGAGATATAATTTCCTCGTCCAACGCAGAGAACACTTGGTTTAGGATGTTTACCGCCTGCATTGCTTCCTGCACGTTGGTTGATCCGCTGTCGTAGATGTTCATCACTTCAATGAAGATTACGGAGACCTCTTCAAAGCTCTGGCAGACGTGGTCATTGCTCACGCGCATTCGTTCTGCGATGGGGCGCGGTATCATCGAGTAGAGAAGTTCGTCTCCCTGCTTCTTCCAGCAATCGGCTAACTCCAAGGACTTTTCCAGCTCATCGGAACGTTGTTCTTCCTTCTCAAACATTATTTCGAGCTTGGAGCAATGCTGCCAGCCCGCCATGACAAGCTCTCGGCTCAGACCATGCGGATTCAGATCATTCAGGTACAGGCCAATGCTGTGAAGCTCATCCAGATTCTCTATAAGGGGACTGCAGAGGAAAATCAAGGAGTCGATGTCCTTGATGTAAAACATCTGTCCTTTGAGCAGGATAGAACGTAGCCCTTGAGAAGCCCGACGTTGACCTGTTGCCGGATCGATTTCTACTTCGCTGGGTCCATCATCTATATCACCCACATTATTATCGCTGAACTCTTGGGCTTTCGCCAGCGCGATAGCCTGGGCCTCGTTGAGAAGCATGTCGTCGTAATTTTCAAAGTCCATGTTGAGTACAGCATCATAGGCAAGTCGATTGTGTCCGGTACGGATCAACTCGAACTCAAAGAGGACCGTACGCATCTGGATCAAAGTGTCCCAGTCGATGGTGGTGTCCTTTGGTCTGCGACAGTAAAATAGATTTGTGACATGGGTGCCTATAAACGCTTTCGGATTGGCGCCCGGATTATGCATTATCCATGTTTCGACTACCTTCTCGCCCGCATGCGTTATTTTCATATCATGATTGAGCACAAAAGTGAAGGGAAACAGCTCCAGGAATACATTCAGATCCACAGCTGGCATCTTAACCTGGGACGGGTGGGCCACGGTATTTACCCGCTTCGCCATGTACTCGCTGTTATCAAAGTCCAGACGGTACTTGACTATGACAGTTAGAGGACCCTCTGTCATTTTGATGGGTCCCGCAGTACCGCCGCTTATATCATTCTGGCTCTCGATTACATAGGCCTTGATCTCCAACCCATAGAACTCCCTTGCCACCTCCGTCATCTGGCCGATGAGATATTTCGACATGCCCGTTCGCCCACTGCGATATAGAATGACCGCTCCACCCTCGTCCATGCTGGTCAGCTGCATGCTGGGCGACTTCATCTTCGGATATGTGAAGCGCATAATTAGATGAATGTTGTCGATGGACTGCAGGAAATCGCAAAAGTAGCGACCCGTCGAACGTATCATCTTGTCGTAGCCAAAGTTGCTGAAGAATCGTACGAAGCACTTGCCGAAGAAGTTCATGCAAAAGTCAAAGGACTCGCCCGTACAGGCAGAGAGGGCAGCCGCAATATCCGGCATCAGTTTGTCCGGATATATCTGATGGGTCTTAAAGCTGTTGTGCTTGCAGTCGACGATGCGACAAACCTTTTTCCATACGTCCATGCCGTACTCCTCCTGCACATAGTGCTGGACACTCTCATACAGCATTCCATACATGGCTCAGAGATTTTACTGTTAGGGCAGAAAATTTCTATAAGTAGACATTGTTGAAGATGAATGAAAATCAGTATAACATTTGATATAATATTTCATATTTATTTTATTCAGTTGGTATCATGCGCTGAAGGTCTGATCTAATTTGTATTACTTGTTTCTCTCAATTTATATGGTTTCCTAATCCTTCGAAATATTTAGAAACTATATATATTTTGCTTAACTTCCACTTTAAATTTTGCATATTTTGAATACCTTTTTAGCATACCTTTACAATCGTTTTTTGCCCTGCTTTAAATGAGCAACAGGCTTGGCTCTTAAATTGAATTAAAATTTCGGATCCCCTTTCACTTTGCAACTGTTTGTAGTTTGGCCCGCATTTCCCAGCGGCACTTATTTATTTATGGAGCAAACGGAATGTAATTTGCCACAGCACAGGAAACCCAAACATGTAATTTTACTTTATTTATTTTTGTTGCTGCTTTTGCGCTTTGTATACCGGAAGATATTGTGATTTTTTTTTTTTTTTTTTTTTTTATATTTACATATATATTTTGTACTTTTTTTTAAAGGTTGTTCGTACTGCTTGTGGCTATGTCCTGCGAATGAAGCGCCGCCTGAGTCGTACACGACTTTTATAGCCAGCTGTCCGCTACATCAGTCGCCCCATTTCGAAACCCTTTCGGGTGCTTCTGGTATGGCCCCATGCCCGCCGCCTCTTTAGTGCGTTGACAGTGTTTCATTACATGTCATTGCTCCTTGTTGATGCCAATTGACGCTTGCTAAGTCGATAAAGTACCCGCAATGAAGTATGCTTCCCTATTTTTATTGCTTTCACAACAAAAATTCACACGCACAAAATGCGTTCCTTGCATTCCTATCTATGTACATAAATACCGTTTTGTTAGGGGTTAAGTACATAGCATTTAAGCAGTTCCCAATATCTATTCACTTATATACTTGGCATATCCAGTGTCAACTTAAAAGAATCTCATCTGTGGCTTATTATAATGTAATAATAAGGCAATCAAACGTTTTCTGAATATTCATTTCTTAAGTTCATTTCCAAGTCTTTAATTCTTCTAAATTATAAAAATAAATAAAATAAAATACATTGATACTCATAATTAAAATATTTTTGTTACATTAAACTCTTGGCATCATATTATTTTAATATGAAATATCCTCATTTAAATCTTTCCAGCTCCAAAGCCAGAAGACTTCGTAACTTTAAACTAGAGAACATACAGTCTTTACAGTTTTGCCCCGAGTAAGCGTAGGGCAATATATTTTTGTTTGCCAATTCTGAAAATCTATAGTAGAATAACGTAACTATGAATAGCTAATGATAGCTAATAAATTACTGATTTTTTTTTATTCTAAGCCAGATAAACAAAGTTAAGAGTTATTTACGGATAATCGAAAGAGTAGCTGGTCAGTAACTGGCTGTTCTGATCAGCAATGTATATGCTTTACAGAGTCAGTCAGGCTTCCTTCTGCCTAAAACATACATTTGAAGAAAAAGAAAGATGTCCTGCTTTCAGAGCGGGTTCTAAATAAAGCAATGTAAACATTTGCATGAAGCGGACTATGTTATAGGTATTCAAATATTCATTTCATAAAAGCTTTTTGTTTGCAGGCAATTTATTTGATGCTTAAATGCGCTGTCAAGGATGTTATTGGTCAAGGACGAATAGAATTAAATCACCGTAGGCACACAAATCTACGTATGGGAGCCGAAAACAAATGTTGACAGCTGATGACAACGGTTAAGCGCTAAAGGATGTTGTGCTATTTATATTAGCTGTCTGGTTACAGTGCTGAGCTTTGAAAAACTAGAATTTTGGAACAAATTAAGCTAAAAGAGACTAAAAGGCTAAAATATTGGAATAGCGGGCTAGATAAAAAATGAAAGAGAACATACTAAAAGTACCAAATATATTTGAGAGTGACCTTTTTTGCTTATCATAATTTGTTTGATTTATTTATATAATAAATATATATACATAATTGGCGAAACTCAAGTTCTTTTTTAACTTGAATTTCGCCAATTATTTTGCATTGATAGCGCAGCAAAAACAACCGACAAAACTAACCTGAAGGCTCGTATTTCTTCTAAGTGTTTCTTCGAAACGTTTTTTCTATTTTCTCTATCTCCCCCCAGCATTTCTTCCAAGTATTTCCTCTAATTATTTACTTTGAGCATGTCTTTTAAGAATTTCCTCTAAGAATTTTCTTTAAGTAATTCCCCTAATTTTTCCTCCTTGTATTTTCTCCAAGTCTTTAATGCTTAGCTGAACTATCATTAAATGTTTACACACACTTCATTTCACTTTACTGCACTGTACGACTGATCCCACCAGGCTTAGGTGACTGAAGAAATGCTGCAGCTGCTGCCCTTTATATAGGGCGACTTTCACTCATAGACTAGGTCCCTCTTAAATGTTGAGTCCAGCATCAGGTAGAGGTCATTGCAGTCGACTTTCAAGTGACCAATGAGAGTTCCTCATCCATTACTTTTCTTAGGCAGAGAGGCAAAGAGATAAATATACAGTTATATTGGATTATACAGGGACGATACATGTATGGATACATGTTGGCCAATTCGACGTTAAAATGCCTGAAAAGCAAAGAGAATATATATGTTCGATTGGGCTAAATGCTGATATACTAAAAAACTTAAGTACATTAGTATTAACAATTATTAGATGGCTATTCTTACTGATTTTCAATGGATTTATTATCTAGTCAAATAGGCTATATCTACACTAAAATAGGCTAAGCTGGTGCGAGAATAGCCTAACAAATTTGCTACATTATAGCATTCATTAAATTTTATTTAAATACTTTTTTTTTTTTTATATTTATAAACTCAGTGTATGCCATTGAATAAATTATTTAATTTTTCTTCCTTACGTTCTTTAAATATCAGTACAGGGTATTTTTAAGCTTCCTTCATTATTTTTTGGTGCTGTCACGTGAAAGTCCACTCAATCAAAGCCCTTGCTCTAAACACACCTGGATTCAGCCCTGTGCCCGACATCGATAATAACACTTAAATAAACACTTCTGTAGACTTCATGATTGATGTGGCAAATAAGATTGCATTTATCATGGAAAATGCAACCTAATTGGATATTTATACATATATATTTATAAATACAAAATGTTCTTTAGATTAGTCTTCGGTGCAGCCTATTTGCCCAAGCCCACCTTGTTGAAGAGCTTGTCCTTGACAAGTTGGGCCATCAGGCCGTGGATGAGCTCGATTGTGGAGCGGCTGCAGTCGCGCGTTGCCTTGGACAACTTATCCTCGGATCTCTTTTCATTGACGTCGGTGCCTGTGGAATGAGAATAAGTTCTTATTATAAAAGGCGAATCGTGAACTTTTTACATCAACCAAGTGTATGTACCGCGACCTAAGAAGTTTTCACTTTGCTCCAGCTTCTCGGACAGGTCCATGATCTGGCCGGTGGTGTATTCCGTATTGGTTAGGAGACCTGAGCTGCCCAGTGTATTCACCCAGTATTTGTTCCACAACGAGTCGAGCAGTTTGCGATCCAAGTCCGACTTGAAATAGCTTATCTCCAGCGGATAGTATTGCTTGCAGTGCACACCAAAGTCCTCGATCTTGTTGAGCGGGATCGTCTGATACTCTGACGGCTCCTCGTTGGGCGGCTTGTAGCCCTTGGGATATGTGCGGAAGGCACCAAGGCAAACCTTGCCAGCAGACACGGTGCGCACCGGATCTACAACAATGGCGACGAAGGGCTCCTGGTAGGTCTGATTGAGCATCTGGGTGGATACATCGATGCCCGACAACCAGCACCCGTAACCGGGATGGCTGTGATACCAACCAACAGCGTGCTCCAGCCGTCCCACTTCCTTGGCCGCCTCCATGTAGGCAGTCATATACTCATAGGCTTGAGCCTGGGCATTAACTCTCGTCTCTGTTCCCTCCACAGGCAGTGCAAAAGCATCCATCACAATCTGCAATTCATTGCTTTATTAGCGAGATTTTTTTTTTTTTTTTTATCTAGCGTTGTCTACCATTGTGTTGTCCTCCACTTTGCCTAGCATTAGGCCCATCACCTCCAACGTTCCACCAGAGCGAGCGTGCATGACCATCTTGAGCAGTGCCAGAGCCGAGATTTTGATGTCCTTAAAGAAATGCGGATCTTTTTCCCAGGGCTTGGCGTCAATTATTTGGCGCTGCTGCTCGGCATCATAACGAAAGATTTCATCGCAGCTGGGCAATGTCTGTACGTTATTTTCCAGCTCCCATTTCTTTTGTGCAGCATCAACATCCATTTTATATTGTAATTTATGCTCCAATTTTATTTGTCCGGCTCGAAGTTTCTTAGTGTTTTGTCCTCAATAGATACTGTTAAATGGTATACAGAGCAGCCAACTTAGGTGGCAACGCTATGGTGCTGAACATGCGCCATATTTGCGTTTACAGTAGTCAATTTATCGTGAATTTTAGGTTAGCAGATTATAACAGCTGTTGCTATTTTGATGAGTCTGGCCACTGACCAGAGAACACATAGACTAGACATGTAGTACAAAGTTTTTCAACACCGAAAAATCTGTCTCCTAGGGCCTATCAATTTCGTATTTGCTCGGCTCTTCACTTTTTAGGTTCGGGCTACGAAAATATGCGAAAGTACAATCATTCCGCTTCATGCGCTCGACCGAGATGGTCAAATGTTGAATGAAAGATGCCTCTATGCTCAATTTTTGTTCTTGCTCTCTCGCTCTCTCTGCTCTCTGCTTTCTCAATATGTATATGTATGTATGCATGTGAGCACAAGCAGCAGCTCACGAAAATTGAAATTTCTGCGCGTTAGACTGCCGTTTTTTCCCTTACGCGAAGTGTATTCCGAACGCTTCAAGCCATTTGCCATGCGTTTTCGTTATTATTTATGGGAAGGGTATGAAAGCGTTGGTGCGCATAATGAAAATGTTTTCGCGATTAGCATGCATACACACTCTCGCTTGCTACATGTACTATGAGCATTTGTATGCCTGTGTGCGAAGCTCTTGCCGCCTGTAGCAATTTTACTGTCCCCAGCATTTGCATTTGGTCGATCTTGTGAAGTCCTCATATACATATGTATGTATGTATGTATATACATTTGATTGTGTGTACGCATGGGATGTGCTGTTCACAATTATGGGATATCACTTGTAGAAGCATTTGTATGCCTATGTGCCTTTACATGTGCGTGTGTGTATATCTTTGTTTGTATGCTTGGGAGATGAACATTGGCGTGTGCCTACCTCAACTTTTAATGGTGTGAACGATTTAGGGTTTTAACTGAAGAGGCGCGCTTATATTTAAATAGCGGACTAACTAAAGTGACAGGTGCACTTCCCATTACTTTTGATACGTCTTTTACTTGCATGCACCTGTAACATATGTATGTACATATATGAACGGGTACAGGGGATCGAAAATTTTATCCCATTTTTCCCACTGAGTTTAATCTTTAAAAATGCATTCTGATAGGCAAACCCACAGTCATTGAAATAAAATCAGGTGCTTAAAGATAAGCGCGAGTTACCCAGTCACAATACCACACACATATATGTACATACATGTATGTACATACATACATATGTGTATGAGTTACTCGCCGGCCCGTTCTATGCGCTCTGCGTTTTTTGTCCTTTTCTCTCTCTCTCTCTATGGGCTCTCAAATCATCAAGCTCAGCATCGCACAAAAATGAAATTTGTTCACGACGATCCCCCTTTTGAGTGAAGGTTACATCGAAATTTTAAAAGCGTTTGTGTTCTCTGGTCAGTGGTCTGGCGCGGGCGAACAGTCACTTATATTTCTTACCGTTACGTGTTAAGTTAACTAACAGCTCTGCTATTAAAATCAAACAAGAAATAAAGATATAATATTTCTAGTTTGATATATTGACAATTTACAATTCTACAAAATAAAAATTACAGCCATAGACTCTGAAAATATTTAATAACTCTTCGAATTGTTGAAATAGCACTCGCTCTGAGAACTTGAAAGGCTAAATTCAACTTATTTTGCTGCACCTGTTGAATTGTGCCATCCACCGTATCCTTGCACACGAGCTGATAAACGGAAACATTTCTGTTTCGCTGGTCCATCCGATAGATGGCGCTTTGTGGTTTCAGATGCGGATTCCAGTGAGAATCCATGACCAACAAAGAATTGGCTCCATATAAATTTAAACCAGATTTCGCTAATCCCAAAGTGAGGAGCAGAACGCAAGGCTCATCAGATTCGTTAAAATTTTTGATTGTATCCTGCGTATTACTGCTAGTTAACGTCATAATTCTTAGTTCTCTGCTGCCGGTATTTAAATATTCTTTCAATATTTCCAGCAGTTCTTTCCAGTGCGATACTACAATGATTTTCTCCTTATTTTGCAGTATGCATCGATCAATTATCTCAGAAGCTTTAAGAATTTTCGTTGAAGGAGAGGCCCGGTCAAAGATGGGATTCCTTAGGCTCAGAACATTATCATCAGATGTGTTACTGTAGTCGAAATATCCTTCGCCTTCGTATTGCTCCCGTTTAATTATGCCCATCTGTATCATAATAAAATAAAAATATATTTAATTGTGTCTAGATTCATAGACACAGGTTCTGAAACTTACCGATCGGATTAGATATGGATGAGAGCATAGCTGTTGAAGGCGTTGCACCCGCACCAAGTGTATCATGGAGCGCCTCTGGACTTGTCGATCCAGTTTGTTACGAACTTTGTCATACAATATTCTTTCTTGTACATTAAGTTCTACTTCAATGGAAAATTCATTTAAAGTTGGAAATTTCTGAATCTGTTCAGTTGAGTGAACATCAGACATTGTACGCCTTAAGCACAAACGTTTATCCTTCCTTAACTGTCCTCTGCACAGAAAGCCGAGCAATGCCATAAAATCTTTTTCGTTATTCTGGATTGGATCTCCAGTCACAGCCCATCGAAAATGGCTATTCAGAGCGCAGATTGCTTTTGAACATTCCGCATTGGTATTTCTTATGGCTTGAGCCTCATCCAAAATGAGGCGACGCCATTTGAGATTCAGCGGATTCGTTTCTTTCTTCGCATCATACGTTACAACTCTATAGGTGGTGATCACAATGTCAGCGTTAGAAATGTTGTTGATGTCGCGATTTTTTCCGATGTACTCATAGACCCTAAGCTGATCACCCGCCACAGCTCTAATCTCATCTACCCACTGGGTCAGGATAGCTTTTGGACATACAATCAGAGTTTCGCCAGCATAGTCTAAAAACAAATTAAGTAACAGTACGAAGTAGTATAAGGGAAGAAGAATTCTTCTAGTTATTAAATAAATATTTTTTAAATGTTTATGTATGTTTATCTTTATATAAAAGTCTACCCTACAATACAATGTATGTAGGAACTTTTTGACTTTGAAAATACCCTTAACACCTTTGATATTTTATGCTTCTGCATTCAATCATCCAAAGTCGTAAGTACACAAAGTCATACGAATATAAACAAACATCATCTGCCAACCGATTTGAGCAGTTTTGCTTGTTCTCGAATTGAATTATCTACACATGGAATATGAGAATCACAACAAGTAAAAGTGTTGTTGTTTTAATATCTTTTATACATATATAGTTATGTATATATATTGAGTGGATATGCGAAATGGTCAGAAATATGTAGGAACTTATCAAATATGTATGTATATAATAAATAGTTGATAAGTTGCTAAAAATTGCAGACCGTTGCGCATGGCCACTCACACTTGAGCATACATATGTATATGTACATATATGTATGAATGTCCGGTTGCAGATGAACTATCAATTTGTTCAACGCAATACTAAGTATTAAATACAAAACATAAACATTTTTTAAATATTGTTTGTATGGGACTGATAAATGAATTTGAAATATGTATTTATCTCAGTGGTCTACACATAGTTTGCGGATCATGCTGATCAAGAATATATATTTTATTGTCTACCATGTCTGCCACGCCTTCTTCTTTTGCTTATCTGCTTTCAGTTTACACATAATTCGCATTTTTAATAAAATATTAGCTTAGTGCTTTACTCACTCGAGTGTGTGGAGTGCCTATTCTCCAGTTTTTTGAGGAGTAGCCAGCAAATTATAGTACACGTACTGCCTAATCCTTTGTCATCGGCCAGGATACCACCAAATGGTTCCATATTCTCACACAGGTTTATCCACTGGAGAGCTTCTATTTGATGATTCTCGAGATGCACATCGAAGTTTGATAAACTATCGGGCTGTACCGTATATCTGCCTGAAAATCTGGCCAATTCGTCCGTGAGTTCCTATACGTAATTAAATATTTGTAATAAAATTTTGTTTAATAGTTTTTTTAAACACTTACCTCGCTGCAACTAATATTTAACTGCATTTTGGGTGAGTATAAAATTAGTTACGTTGCGAAAAAAGATCCGGATGCTTACTGTTGGGGAAATACACAAAAACTAATGCTTTATCATTATACATATATGTATTCTACTAGCAAGAATTTCACATTGGAGCTCTGACGCACAAGCGTATAAGAATACATTAATAATACGTATAAGAGAATTTTTCGCGATTAACAGTAAGTTAACAGCGACGATCGACGTTAATAAAACATTTTAAGGGCGCGCGCTTTGAATTTGCATTAAAATTAAACAGCTTAAGATTCGTTTTCACATAGAAATATATTAAATAAAATAATTATATTATATTATATTATATTATATTATATTACATTATATTATATTATATTAGTTCCATAGAAGTATCAGCAATACTCAACAGTTTTATACTTAGTTATTTATCAGGCAATTATCACCTCTCTATCTTCCAAGAGCTCTTGGTACTCCTATATGATCCGTTATGTTAGCTAAACATATGTTAACTAGTAGGTGGTGGTAAATATGCTGTTCAGCTTATCTGAACTATTGAAAAAATTCTGTTTGCAACTGTTTATTAGAGAATTTCATTTCATAGAACATTTACATTTATCAATTAAAATAAATATTATATTAAATTCAGTATGTTAACAATGCATTGATTAATAGTTTTATTAGTATATTTCTGTACAGATTGCGAAAAATACTGAAATACAGACTAATGAAATCAAAATTGGTAATAAAATAAATTCAGTTAGGATAATATATTTATATTTTTCAACTATTGTCTGTCCAATGCCTCGACAATCAGTTTTAGGATATTTCGCTTTAGCTCATCAGCTATATGGGGCGGCAGGCGGCGCATTTCGTCGGCTACAAAATCGCCAAAGATTTGGTGAGAATGTGTGTTTGGCTCCCTTACAGCTAAAGATCCTTCGTGCAGTTCTGGAGCATTCGCAGCCAAGGAGAACATAGTGGAGCAGGTGTCCACCTCTTCCATCAATGACAGTCAGGGTGAGCGCTTGATAGAAACCTCATCATTCGGTTCGAGCTGTAACTGAAAATTGATATCATATTAATTATGTACATATATATATACACATAAGTATTTTTATTTATGTGTTTGGTGACTTACAGAATTGGCTTTGGACTTGCGTGGCTCGCAGACTTCATGCAAAAAGCTTAGAGGCTCAAAGTATTGCCATTTAATCTCAATGTTTTGGGTCGCCTTCGCCTGATAGCTTCTATATTGGGCTCGCAGATTGTCCCACTTGGCCTTACAGTCGGCCAGGGTGCGATCCAGTTTGCTGGCTATCATTTGAAATGCTTGCTCGCGCGATTTGCTATCCTTGTGATTCGGATTGCTTGGATCCCATAGCAATTTCCGCTGTCCCACGAGCCGGATGAGCAAACGGACATCATCTGGTTTCCACTCCTGTTCGATTTTTCGCGATCTCCGACAGCGTTTCTTGGCGCTTACCTGCAAATATGTATTAATGTTTAAATCAATTATTGAAAAAGATATTTTTATTATTATATTACCCTATCATTGAAGTGTTGTTTAGTTCTCGCCTCCATTGCTTATATGGCGTCTGGCAGAAACCTGACATAGCGCTGCCAGACCAATATGCCCACAGCTTGTATGGCAGCGACTGGCCAAGTAGTTGCCAGATCTGTGCTGCCTATTGTATGACAGCAATTGGTTCAAATAATAATATGCCAGCATATGCTGGTTACAGAGCTGCCAGATAGTCTTCTATGGCAACAAACATATGGTTGCTTGCCTGTTAAATTGTTGCACTGCTAACAAAATGCTTTGATCGAATTGTATGACAGCTTGTCAATATATTATAGCCAGCGGTAATTGAAACAACAGATGGCGCCACTGACAGTTTAACAGATTTCTAATTAGACATTTATTTATTTTCATTTGTTACCGTGTTTAATGTGTTTTTCTTTCATAAATATATATATATATATATATATATATATATATATATATATACCTACATATATATAATCACATGTGCTGAATCATTCAAATGGAAACTTAAGGCCAATTGCATTAAATTGTACAATTAAGTATGGAACTCGAATCGAACAATAGTGCACACACATACTTGAATTCAACTTTGGCTAACTATTGCACGCCACTCGCTTGTTTCGTTCTCTGTATCTCAATATGTAGCTAATCTAACCAAGCACCAGGTGAAAGGTGGCGGAGGGTTCTTAACATTTAAGTCTCGTCCAAATGCTATTTGTTTTTGTGTCTTCTTTTTTTTCTTCTTAATAATTTAACAACCACACACGCTGCTTGCTTGTTTTTGTTATTGCGCTGCCGCTGCTGCGGGCTGCTCAGGTGCATCTGGTGCTTCATTGGCCTCGGCCGGGGTTGCTGGCTCCGCTGGCTGCCCCTCGCCGCCCCACATAAAGCCACCAGGGCGATCTTCGGCAGCGGCTTGGTAATTGCGTTCAATGTGTTCATTGAAGAGTCTTTTCCTGTAAGAATGATAAAGATGAATAAATCTAAGCTAAAGTTCATGTACAAGCTATATTACAGAAAATACGGTGTCTTAATCAGTCGGAAGCCGTTTGATAGGTTGGGATAGACATCTTCGAGCACATAGTAGATGTGGCCAACGCCCATGCCAATGATATCCACCCAAATGGTATTGCCCAATATCATGGAGCAGCAGAGCAGTACCCAAGGTAGATACGGCGCCTGCACAGATAATGGAAAATAATATTCTGTATACAACATGCAATTACAATCATATTTTGTGGTATTTACCTGAAAGTTGAGCACACCGAAAAAATTCATGGGCACTAAAGGATTTCGCCTGGACCACACATAGACCAGCATTAACGTGAATGCCTGGCCGAGGAACAGCAGATTGACGAAGATGCCAAAGAATGTCATCAGCACGCCGCCAAAGATGAACATCATCACGAAATCAGAGCTGCGCCCGCGGAAGGAGCCGTCCTCCAACATGCGACAATAGCGATAAGTGAATATCATATTGAAGAAGAAACTGATGCCAATGGTACCAAAGTAGAGGAATGTGGTGGCCAGACGCCAGATTTGAAATTTGCGTACAATCAGTGTGGGATTAAAGTACAACTGAAGCGGCGAGACTAGATCCAAATGCTGGCAAATCAAAGATAAAAGCAAAGCACAAAACATATGCAGATTACGGTACACGTCAGCGTGCATTAGAATCAAATTAGTCGAAACTGTAAAGGACTCACCACCGCCAGCGTTGTGAGCACACAGACTGTGGTATATGCCCTTGTCACTATGGGCACTTCCATATAGAACTGTCGCATTGCATTCATCCTGGAGCTCTATTTGTGGCTGGCAAAGTCTTCAAGATGACGGAAATTGAAATTTGCTGGCTATTTTGTGCGATGTTGTAGTTCGGCGCTCTGGCAGCGCTTGCGTTCACATTTGTTGTGGTAATGTGTATGTGGTTACAAAAACAACTTGTAGATGTAGGATTTAAAATGAATATTATTGTTTCATATACTTCTTATTTTGCTAGGCTTTTGAGCTATATAAAATAAGTTTGTTATCGTTTATCGTTATACACAGTTATCGCCAAGTGAAACTGACCATCAGCTGACTAGTTAATGTTCGAGTAATTTCGTATGTTGTTTAGAACTTCTTCGAATTTACATAGGGTCATAGGTCAGTAGATTTATATTTATATTTTAAAAGCAATAAGTGCAAATTGCCAGCCTTGGCATGTATGACTAAGAAATTTGAAGTGGTAAACTAAGGAATACCGCAAGTGAAATATTATCAAACAAGTGTAGTAATAAAAGGTATATCGATATAACTTACACTTACTCACGAGCCATCATCGATATAACAGTGCTCACTATTCTAATCGGCTGCAAAAGTACTGGTCGCCATTATCGATTTGTGGCAAAAAAAGAAGAAAAAAATAGAGAATTAAAGATCGCGTTACAGCGTTACGCACCGGCTAAAGAGCGCATTAAACGCGGTGTAAAAATTAATTAGTGCAGTAAAAAAATCGAATGAAAAGTTTGTGGTGCGCCAGCTAGTCGTGTTTTATTTTTCGTTAAGCATTTGCCACAACAACTAATCAATATCAATACGTCTCCCTGCCTCTGAGTGTGCGTGTGTGTGTTCGTGTGCGTGTACTGGCCTGTCTCACAGTGTATGTGTATGTGTGTGCTGTTTGGTCCATTCTTTGGTGCACATAATCAAATTAGATTGGATATATAACTAGTGTTAATTAAGTGAAACCAACAACAACAAAAACAGCTTCATCATGACTATGGCTGGGCAAACAATCAACGACAGGCTGCTGGCTGCTCGTCACAGCCTTGCGGGCCAAGGACTCGCCAAATCAGTGTGCAAGGCCACAACTGAGGAATGCATCGGGCCGAAGAAGAAGCATTTAGATTGTAAGTGTAATTCAAAAAGAATACAAAAAAGACTAGAAAAAATCACATAGTTTTTTGACCGAAATCAAAAGGGAAAAATAACGGTCAACACACACAAAGTGACAAAAAAAAAAAAAAAAAAAAAACTGTCGCCTTGTCAACATTTTGCCATTCATTCAATTACACAAAGAGACATTTGCTCTCTTCTCTCCTAGTAGAAGGCAGATTTTTTGTCTTTTTTTGGGTGACTTGTAACGTTACATTTGTATGTATGTGTGTGTCTTGGGAGACTTTTTCAATATTTTATCTTGGGTGTTTCGTTATGGCAATTACTGTAAACTTTTATCATGTTGTGCATAGCTTGTGTTCTTACTCACTAAAATAAACCGCTTCCCCGCAAATTCACGCCCACTCTCTAAAAAGTTTTTTTTTTTTTGCAATGCACCTGCTGCCTCGCCTCAGCTGCTGATTGTGGTCTTTCCTTTTGAATGCTTCGTCATTCGCTCTCAATGCTCTAGGCCTCTCTTTCTAATGTTACGTCACTTTCTCACGGCTGCACGTGTGTATGATTTACAATGAGCTTTTGTGTGTGTATGTGTGTGTGTAACAGCATTAGATATTATATGTTGCTGTTGTTGGAGTATGTGCCGTTTCACCGGTGTCATTGCCTTTTAAATTTATTCATAATCTGTGTGCAACAACAACAAAAACTACAACTACAACTAAAGCGACTGCAAGAAAATCTAAGTTTCGTCTATGTTTTACGTTGCATTTCTGATTGGCTAAACAAAGTGATCTTTTGTGTTGTCTTATTGGATTCTGGTTGACTTTTTTGCCTCCACTGCTTTTTCATATGTGTATGCGTGTGGTTGTATGTATATGTGCTTCTTTGACCTGCTTCTTATTTAAGTTTGCCGTTTCTTTGGCACGTTTGCAACTTTGTTGTTGTCCAATAAGCGCGAAATGAGTCATGAGAAATTTTTGGTAATGCTTAGTACCGTTGGCAAATATATACACAAATGCATATGTATTTATGCTCGTGTATGTACATGATTACATACATTTTTATTACATCTTTTGTGTACTCTTCTTGGAAATTATGTGGAGTTGTCACATAATGAGCATACATAAGTAAAAAATACATATGTACATATGTAAAGCTTTGGCTAGTAATGATTGTGCTGGTATTTGTATGCCTGTGTGTGTGCTTGTTATTATAATTATGTAGGTAAACAAAAATAAATCAAGCTGGAGCTTGCGGTCAAGCATTGCCCGCGTAATGCTTCAGCTCCAATTGGCCAAACTGATTCAAAGAGGAATCGTTTCCAATCAGAATCTAGTATGCTGCTCATTAAAATATATTATTTGAATTTAAATTAAACTAGGAATAAAATAAAAATGAAATAGAAAAATGTAATGTAAATGAAAAGTAATAAAATAATTTAAATATAATATAAATGTAAATACTTAAATCGTTTTTTTTTTTTTTTTTTTTTTTTAATTTTTAAACTACACAAATGCAAAATACCGTTTTGGTTTACATACGGTATTTAAATTATTGCCCATAAAAATATGTTAATTGGGTAGTTTATTCCAAAAGAGATTTCAGTAGGTGAGCTTTATTTCTGATCAGAATGCTATTCATATAAACAAAAAAGTCGAACAGAGTCTAAAACAACCTGTACCTTCACGCAAGCTAAATTAAAAGTTTGAAAATGAAACCAAAGCCAATCAAGAAGTAAAATAAAAAACTCATTAAAAGACACACATCAGCTACAACTTAGAAATTAAGAGAGAAAGAATAAGAAAAAATAAAACCTGTTCTCCGATTACATTTTGCTCAGAGCAGGTAGAATGTAAAAAATACGATTGACTTCTCTCATTTACCCTTTCAACTCTTTTTGTTTTCGTTGCTAATAACGAAAAATTAAACTGTGAATGAAACCAGTTGGGAATTCGAGGAAACTCAGCTCTGGAGTTCTGCAGCTGAAGCTGCCCAAACAAGTACCTAAATTTAAATACAAGTTCAATTATCACTAAAATCTCAGAAATACAGGTGATGTAAAGCCTCCAAAAATATGCGGAACTTGGAACTGAAAATAATCAAACAGAAAACAAATGTGAATATTATATTTATTCCTTCTTTAAGCCTGCTCTAGTTCAGTAAAGTAAATTTTAATTTGGGTCAATAGGTTTCAAGGGCGAATACCCTGTAGCCAGTGTGCAGAGGCAGGTATAACGTATAAGCGAACGAAGTGAAGAGCTACAGCTATATATAGATCTGTTTGAGCATGCATATAAAGAGCTGTATACCTAATTTTATGTGCCGAATGACTTTACGCTCAAGATAATGAAGTATGTGTATATTTTAATAAAATTTATATTAAATATAGATGCAAGCTAGCCTAATACATATATTCAACTTAATTTAGTTTCATTAAAACTTGCGAAAAGTTTAGTTCGAGCTGAAAACTTTTTGATCTTTAACCATGAAATGATGTTCCCAAATCAAAATCTTTGCCATAAGCTAGTTTTTATTAAAACTTTGGAAATACGATCAATAATTCAGTTGAGCGTTAATTTAAAGAATATCAAACAAATTTCCATATATATATATTTATTTCAATTTATATATATATACATATACGAATATCAATCATTGAATTGAATCAAATGATTTAAATGTTTGTATGGCTGGGTATGTGTATGTGTGCCTGTGAATATGTGTATATGTGTGTGTGTGTCTGTGTGTGTAAGCAATCAACGAGTGCATTTAAATCATCTGCCCATATGTCTGTAAATATACGCCCCTCTTTAAATGCCGATAACAAGCTGTGGGGGGAAAAACAGTCTGATGATACTTATATAATATCCACAATATATATATATGTATATATTTTATGTATATAATGCCATTTAAATTGTGCGTCGTTTGCTGCAGAGACAAAGCTTATCGCAATTTGAATGCATGGCGGGACTTTGGAGGCGGCATAAAATGTCGTCTGTGCAGAAGTTGAGCGTGATAAGAGCATTGCAACGAACAATGGATAGGCCACAGAAGTCGGCTTCAATCAGATGATAACACCACACAGTAAAAACTGAGTTGAACGAACACCCAAGATATTTGGTATTTAGTAGCATTGTATATATATTTTATTAGGGTATTTATTGTACCCTGCTCTTTCTGCAGTAATTTGAAATAACATGCAAGCTGTCCATTTGTATTTCATTTCATTTCCCAATTCTCTTTGCAGATCTGGTGCACTGCACTAACGAACCGAATGTCTCGATACCCCATTTGGCCAATTTACTTATCGAGCGCTCGCAGAATGCCAACTGGGTGGTCGTCTATAAATCGCTGATAACCACGCATCATTTGATGGCGTACGGCAATGAGGTTTGTACTGGCTCTCTAAATGATCCGCTGTCAACATAGCTATTCAGGGGGCGTACCATGTATACATACATATGTTTATGAGAATATATACAAGTGAAGAGAATAAAAGTACACGTAATTTAATTGATATATATTTACATAATATATATTCTATATTTTTGAATTTAAATTCAATTTATGTATCATATATGCTTTAATTTAATAGAATTTGTATATAATAACAATTTCGTAATATACAGAGGTGGTCAAAAGTATTTACACAACGAACATTTTTCTACATGCTCTGCCTAAAGAGCTTTTTTTTGTTGTTTTCGTTCGCCGTTTTTGAAAAAAAGCTTTTGTGGCATAAAGCCTATTCTATGTAGAAGCGATCGGCTGAAGAAATTGCTAAAATAACGATACATGCTAATAAATAGAGCGAAAAGAACAATTACTTAGAGGTTGTCAAAAGTATTTACACACATTTTTTTTGCGTCTTTAGTATTTACACAAAACTTAAACAATGTTTATTGCTATTGTTTAATGTTATTTCTTTTGGATTTTTGTTTTATATAACTAAGGGCTTATTTATTTAAGTTTGTGTTTAGTTATTTCTGCTTTTACTTCAATTACAGCCCGATGCCTTGCTGGAATTGATGCCACTAAGGATCGGGCAAAGTCAATTGTTAATTTCGACCAAATTTCGGTAATTTCCTTGATGATATCGTCCAGTTTCGGTCCTTGTTGAATAATCTGTTTGATTTCATCATTACCCAAACATTTTCATTTGATAAGGCCCGGACTTTGCGAAAACCAGGGCAGAATGGCTTAGCTTAAGTCCCTCAAAAGCTTTGTGGGTATTGATCCTTTATGGCAAGGAGCATTATTTTGCTGCAGCAGCCAGTCAATAACTAGAAATAGTCTGTTCCCTATGTAAATCATGGTGATTTAATATTGGCAGATATCCTGATTGATTTAGAGTGCCTCCTATTGGCAAGACATTACTTCCCACCTCCAAATCAGATAAGAGGCTTCACTGCATTTTCTTTTTTTTTTTCGGCACTAATGCAGGAAGATGTTTCCAAATGACCCGTGAAACTGAAATTCAGCTTCATCTGTCCTCAAAACGTTGTGCAAAAGATCTAAAGGCTTTTCAATGTACTCTAAAGCAAAACGCTTTACTTTGGTGCCAATAGGAGGCACTCTAAATCAATCAGGATATCTGCCAATATTAAATCACCATGATTTACATAGGGAACAGACTATTTCTAGTTATTGACTGGCTGCTGCAGCAAAATAATGCTCCTTGCCATAAAGGATCAATACCCACAAAGCTTTTGAGGGACTTAAGCTAAGCCATTCTGCCCTGGTTTTCGCAAAGTCCGGGCCTTATCAAATGAAAATGTTTGGGTAATGATGAAATCAAACAGATTATTCAACAAGGACCGAAACTGGACGATATCATCAAGGAAATTACCGAAATTTGGTCGAAATTAACAATTGACTTTGCCCTATCCTTAGTGGCATCAATTCCAGCAAGGCATCGGGCTGTAATTGAAGTAAAAGCAGAAATAACTAAACACAAACTTAAATAAATAAGCCCTTAGTTATATAAAACAAAAATCCAAAAGAAATAACATTAAACAATAGCAATAAACATTGTTTAAGTTTTGTGTAAATACTAAAGACGCAAAAAAATGTGTGTAAATACTTTTGACAACCTCTAAGTAATTTTTCTTTTCGCTCTATTTATTAGCATGTACCGCTATTTTAGCAATTTCTTCAGCCGATTGCTTCTACATAGAATAGGCTTTATGTCACAAAAGCTTTTTTTCAAAAACGGCGAACGAAAACAACAAAAAAAAGCTCGTTAAGCAGAGCATGTAGAAAAATGTTCGTTGTGTAAATACTTTTGACCACCTCTGTATATTCTATATTATTCAATTTAAATTTAATTTAAATGCTTTCATATTGCTTTTACTTTTATTCTTTTCACTTTTGTTTGCCCTCCTTTTAGCACTACGAAAAGGTCACGTTCATTGTCGCTTTGCTTGTATTTGATTTGATTTATTCTCTTTTATTTCTGTTGCTGCTTGATTTGCCTTGCTTTGCTCTGCGTGCTCTTTGCGGCTTGTGTTATCTTTTACTTTTATTTGTTTGTTCTTCCTATTTCCTCTTTTGGCGACACATTCGCCAAGTTTCCTTTGTGCCCAATCGCACTTTCTGTAGTTTAATTGCAACTCCTCCCAGCTGTTGTTTTCTGGGCGCTGAAAGCGAATGCGACTTCAGCTGGCAATGAAATGATATATGTTATCAGATATTGCTTTAATGTAAGGTTAACTTTAATAGACTAAATATTTGGGTGCATTATTCATAGATTCCTGGCACGAATTCCTGTTTACTAACTCAGCTGTCTTATCTGTCTTCTTTTCAGCGTTTCATGCAATATCTCGCCTCGAGCAACTCAACATTTAATCTCAGCTCCTTTCTGGACAAAGGAACTGTGCAAGGTATAAACACGAATAAATTTGCAGGCACTCAAAGACCCTCAAAAGTCTTTGAAGAAGATGAAAATAATGAAACAATGCGAAACACTTGATGCTTTCTAACATCTGCTCATGCTCTCCACAAACACAGCATACAACAGAACATTTAACTATTTAACTTTGTTATACAAATATAATATTACATGCTTCTCCCTCTGCTCTTCTCTTTATGCTCTCACTCACACTTGAATGCTGCGAATCGCGTTTGGCCTATTCATTTGTGTAATTCGTTCTAATGATAACATTGAAATAATAACAATAATAATACTGTGCCTCGACTATCAACTAAAACGCGCTGCTTACTCACATACAAACACACTCACACACATATACATGTAAAATCAAAAATTCATATATAAAACATCATTCTTAATATATAAAAATATATATATGAAAAATATATAAATAATATATGCAATGCGAATTATGAACCTATACTACAGATGGTGGCATGGGCGTTCCAGGTGGCAGAATGGGTGAGTATTTCTTGAAGAAGTAACGTTTTCATAATGGCTACGGGGTTATCCAGCAACAGCAAAACACGCAAACTGTACACTAACGATTGAGGTCATGGCTCTAAACTAAAGCTCAAGAAACCATATAATACATATACAAAAGCAAGACAAATTTTTGACTAACTGTATTTAACTAAACCTATAACCTAATTGTTATATTTGGCGTTCAAAATTGACTGTTCGACAGACGTATACTAAATGTGTCTTATATTAGCAACAAATTAACTGAAGAATAATACCCTATTATTATTATCACATACCATAGGCTATGATATGTCGCCCTTCATAAGACGCTATGCCAAATATTTGAATGAGAAGTCGCTCTCGTATCGCGCCATGGCTTTCGATTTTTGCAAAGTGAAGCGTGGGTAAGTTGAGCACTTATAATATATGGTTTATGATTCGTATTAATCAATATTCAATATTTTAGGAAAGAGGAGGGCTCCTTGCGTAATATGAATGCGGAGAAACTTTTGAAGACGCTGCCAGTGTTGCAGGCTCAATTGGATGCACTTCTGGAGTTCGACTGTCAATCCAATGATTTGACTAACGGTATATGCATGCCACGATATCTTTGCTTCAATGTATATATTTATATGTACTCTTTCCGTAGGCGTCATCAATATGAGCTTCATGCTGCTGTTCCGTGACTTAATTCGTCTGTTTGCCTGCTATAATGATGGCATTATCAATTTACTGGAGAAATACTTTGACATGAACAAGAAGCATGCACGCGATGCTCTAGACTTGTACAAAAAGTTTTTGGTTCGCATGGATCGTGTGGGGGAATTCCTAAAAGTGGCCGAGGTGCGCGCAATGAATTACCTATAAATTGTACGGATTGTTTAACTGCATTGGTTGTTGTCTTTTGCAGAATGTTGGCATTGATAAGGGCGATATCCCCGATTTGACAAAGGCGCCCAGCTCTTTGCTAGATGCCTTGGAGCAGCATTTGGCCACGCTGGAGGGTCGCAAGGTCTCTGCGGCCAATACGCCCACACAATCGTCGAGGTGTGTTGCGGTAGACAGTTAATTAGTTATTAGATTTGAAGCTTATGATATTAGTTTATTAATTATTGTATTATTGAAAGTTCATCGTATACTTTTTGATATTTTACTTTAATTATTTTAACATTTAATTTGTTTGCTAAGTTGGTTTATGTTTTCCATTTTCTGTTTCTTTTCTATGATTTGTTGCATTTGATTTGTTGGCGCAGCTATCAACGCACAAATGTTAAATCCGCTGTCTCTGCACTCTCTTCAACTAGCTCGGCATTTGGCACTGCGGCAGCATCTAGTAAATTTGATACCTCCAATGGCATCGATGAGCAGCTGAAGGCCCAGGTGCTGGCTGAGGAGGAGGCCGCCATGAATCAGTACAAAGTGAGTAAATATATTTGTTTTGATTTGATTGCATATAAATTGATGATGAATTAACTGACTTGTTCTCCCTTGTTCATCAGTCCAAGGTATCGTCGCCCACTAGCAGCGGTGCTGGTGGTGCTAGCGCTGCACTAACAAATCCATTCCTATCGTCACCGCCAGCCGCCCAGGCTGGTCAGCCGATAGTTGATCTGTTTGGTGCCGCGTCGGCACAGCCCGCTGCTGCTGCAGCAGCATCTGGCGCTTCACAGGCGCTTGCCACAAAGGCGTCCGACGATTTGCTGCAGCTGGGCAATCCGTTTGCCGACATGTTCGAGGCCAGTGGCAACAGTGTGGCAGCTGCCACCACCGGAGCAACAGGTGCTGCACTCAATGCCAATAATTTATGGATGCATAATAACGGTAGCATGCTATAATTTTCTTATTATTTAATTGATTAAGATTTTCAGTTGACTTTAGTTAGTTAATTTAAACGTTGACGCTTAGGTGTTGCCTTAAAGTTTTTCTTTTTACGATATAAGTCTATATATATCTATATATGTATATGTATTACCCATGTTGTCTCTGTAGCTGTGTCAGATCCAGACACTTAAAAGGCGCGCACTCCGTCCCAGCTCTTGCTCTTACTCTTTCTCTCTCTCCCTCTTTCTCTATCTTTTCTCGCTCTCTCTCTATATATATATGGCCGTCCTCAAGCACAAACTTTTGATGCACATATTTTTCCTATCATAAATAACATAAACTTTCAATTATGTTTATTTTGTATATTATGTACTTGATATAATTTTGTAAGTTATTATTTACTCATTTTTGAATTTCTTCGTCTAATGTATTGTTGCTCTTCATTTTCATCACTGGTTTTTTTCTCCACTACCCTAAAACAAACAACCAACAACTACAACAACAACAACAACATGACTCGATAAATATTCGATAAATCATACACACACAACTATGAAAAAAAAAAAAAAAACCTCCCATAAAAAAACCATATAATAGGTTTCAATGGCTCTACAGTTTCCTCCGCTGCTGCTACAAATGCATTCGTTTCCGATAGTAATTTTACGTCCGTTTTCGGTAATACGGAACCAACAGGTAAGTGCTCCCAAAGAAGCAACTAAAGCCGGTTAATTTCTCTCATTAATACATTTACAATTGCAATGCAACTTAATATTAATCAATTCATTTATAATTACTTATACGTAAAGCGATTTAAAGTAATCCAAAGTTCTAACATGAGGGGGGCTAAAGATTAGTTAAAGTATTGCTTTTTTGTGGTGCGGTTCTCGTAACTCTTAACTCTTAGCATATTTAAATGTTTTATTTTTCTCTACTCGTATTAATTACTGGTATGTTTAGCATGTTCTACTAATAATATAACTAATACTCTCTAAAGTTTACGTGTTTTGATAATGCCAAGAGTACACCCGCTCCAAAGAAAACCAAGAGAAGGCTAGACTACAGTCCATCCATCACATCTAGTTTAGTTTCAGTTTCGTAAACACCTGAAACCTTTTGCTGTATGCGTGAAACTCAATTCTACACAGTGTTTTTGTTTTCAAACTTTGATAATTTTGGAATTTTGTGTGCATAATTTTTGTTAATTTTGAAGATTTAGTTTTACCTACGCTTATAATTTAATTAATTTTTCTTATGGCTATCCCCAACGAAATATCCTTGCGAATATGTTTACTTGTGTCGAATGATAAAAGCCGCGTCGTCAGCCCCGTTGCCAAATCCCTTTTTCGATGATGCCGTTGTCTATGGCCAGCTTGGGGAGCCACAGTATCAGCCACAACAACAGCAACAGCAACTACAACAACAGCAACAGCAGGCCGCATTATTTTATATGCAACAACAACAACAACAGCAGCGGCTGCAACAGCAGCAGCAACAACAACAACAGCAAGAGCTGGCCTTATTAACAACTTCCACGATGTCTCCATTCCCCACAGGTGAACAATTGCGAGCCAAATGAAACACAGAACCGAATTTTTACGTTGCGCGCTTTGTGTTTGTACAAAGCTTCAATTGTCCCACACTGGCCTCATCTTTGTTGTGCTTGTAGTGCTGCGTACACACACACACACACACCCACACACACACAGTCGTCTAAAGTCTGTCTCTCTACTCAATAGAGTCTTTCGCAAATGCATTTCCAAGTACTCATGAGTAATGCAAATAAGTCATAAAAACTGAAAACAAAGAAAAAAAAAAAAAAAAAAGGAATGAAAAATGTAAATAAATAATAGTTTTGATTAGGAATTTTTGAGTAAAAGTTTGCAGACTTGTTAGACTTTAAAGTAATTATATGGTGGTACTTCGATTACATTTATTTGATGTGCTATAGAATTTCAAGTATTTCGAAGTTAATAACTTCATACTGTTGCTCTTCGTTTGTTCGACGGCCAAGTACTTGGTATGCTTTGTAAGGATATTCATTTCATTCGATCAGACAAAAATCCTGCTTGCTATTTGCAGTGTATTCGTGCCAGACTCCTGAAAATGCTTAAAAATCCAACCGCTATTCATGTACGTAAATCTTTGGTTCTCGAAACAAGTTTGTTGTCAATCTTAGTTTTATTTATGTTTTTACTCGTACAAATTGCGTGAGTGTGTCCTGAAATGTGTTTCATAATGTGTATGTCGGATTTAGAAAATAAGACGGACGAACACTTTAATTAAATAGTAATTAAATAAATAAATTTAGTTTTGGGTCTCTTAATGTCTTTGAGCTGTCTTTAGCTAGTCCAAGTCTTACGGGTCTCTTGCTAACGTTATTCCTCTTTCCTCTCTGTTTCTATTTCAATTCTTAATCATTTAAATTTGCAAAGATATTCGCTTCTAGTTAAATAATTCATAGTAAATTAACATATAATATATGCACCTCAATTGATACATGCTTGATAAACCGCTTAACTAATTATATACTAACTAACTAATGCCAAATTATCATACAAAACCTGTCTGTTATTATAATTATCAAATAGAATAGCGCAAAAAATGCACATAGAACATTATATAGAAAAAGAACAAACGAAATCTTTATTCACAATGTTTATTTTGTCAATGTATTTTTTCTCTTTTTCTCTTTTTTATGTTCTTATGTACGTAACATAAAAAAAAATACAAAAATACAAATACGACACATTAACACACATTGTCTCATGTTTACAATACGTTAATGTTGGTGGCACAAATCCTTGAACAAAATTCAATTTATACATACATATATATAAACATATATAATATATGTATATATAATTATATGTCTCCTAAAACGAAAACGAAATCATTTTAAAACCGGGCGAAAACTTGCAAATCGAAACAAACGAATATCTCATTAAACAATTGTTGTGGGCTTCCATTTGTATCATAAAAACAACAACAAACAAAACAACAACATCTGTGTATGTCTGTGTAAATGTCTGCCTATAACGGTGTGCTGGCTATATCTCGTACAACAACAACAACAACTATTGTATGTCATATATAAAAAGGCTTTGATGCTTTGGGCGATGTTCTGAAACCGGCCACAGCCAACAGCAATCAAATGAATGTTGTCGCCGCAGGTGCCGCTTACCAGGGCTTCAATGCCAGCAGTCCGGCCCTAACATTGCAACAGCAACAACAAATGAATACACAACAGCAGCAGTTACTCATACAGCAACAACAACAGCAGCAGCAACAACACCAACAACAACAGCAACAACAACCAGCTGGCACTGGCAAGATAATAACGGGCGACCTGGATAGTTCACTAATGTCCCTAGTTGATAATTTAAATATAAATAAAACAGCGAGTGCAAAGTGAGTAAAATCGACAAGTAAATGTGCGTATGTGTATGTGTGCGTGTGTAGATAATCCATGTGTGCGTGTGTGGGAGGAATATGAGAAATACATCAGCCAATCACCTTCAAAATGTCTCATCAAACGAAAAGCATCCATGCCAGTTTTTGAGTTTTCTTGTTAAGACTTAAAAACGCAATCCTACTCCGCCTCGTAACACACTCACTTTTGAGAATTTCCAGTCGAAGGTCAAGCATGATCCAAATTTATTTATATATTAATAAAATATTAAGTATATAGTATATGTATCAGAGCTTTCACATCCATAAAAATTTGTAATATTTTCTTATTATAAATACCCCTCCGAAGAATTGTAAGAAAGAACTTCTCTTCTTCTATACTTATGGACATCTGATTTGTCTCAAAGTGCGCATTATTTTTGGTAACCTCAATGCTTGACCCTGGAAGTGCTCTCAAGTCTCGTCCCATATTAATTACCCTCATATCCCATCATTTCATGTTCCATTTGTGTACATAACCAGTTTCCCCATTTTAGTTTTCCAACTAATTCGAGTAAATATTTTTAGAAACGTAATCGAAATTCAAAACCAAAAAAAAAAAAAAAAAAAAAAAAGTTTCATTGATTTCGTGTCTCTCTATATATCATTACTCTCTTACCCCATATGTATCTCATAGACCCGTGCAATGGAATTCACCTAAAAATACAGCGAAACCAGGTGCTAATTGGACACCTCAACCAATGGCGGCTACAACTGGTGCTGGCTATCGTCCAATGGTGAGTTATGACCACAGCTAACTCTCTACTCTTTCTTTCTCTCAACTCAACTCAACTCAACTCAATTCAACTCAACTCAACCGAAACTCAACTCAATCAAAACTCAACTCAATCGAAACTCAATTAAATACAACAACAAAGACATGAGATAATATCAGAGCTATAAGAGTTATATGTACACATATATGTATCATATACATACATATATATACATTTATAACGTTATAGATAGACCTTTTGTGCTCTTAGAGCAAAAGACCAAGAATGCTTGAGGGAACAATAAAGATGATGGTATCCTAAAGATTGTGTCACACAACACGCTAGGCTCACTATCCATGTAACATACAATTTGTCTTATGATTATGATTTTGTTTCTTCTATTTTTCAGTTTTGTACATTTTTCTTCTTTTGCAAATATTTTTCATTTTAAGAACCGCACTTTGCCTAACAACAACAGCTACTTGGTTTATTTATTTATAATGTCTTGATCTGTGATTTGATTTAACCCAAAAATATAATCTAGATGTTGTGGCCATTTTTACAATATAATATATATATTTTTTACATACATATATCTCTTGAATTGGCATAGAGCTATAAAAGCACAAACCAAGTTGTTGCAAGTTGAACGTTTATTTGATTCATTTCGATTATACTATGTGATATATTGGTTAAGGTCCTCTCATGTAAAACACTGCATCACACAACGACAACTACAACAACAGCAACAAATACACTTAGCACTAGGGCAAACTATTGTGGCACACCTCGTCAGTGTAGGTATCGAGCAGCTACTTGAAATAGCTAACCTACATAAGCAGGCCAATTATTCACTTGTACTCGTACATACACACCTAACTGTATTTATTCCATTTTGATTTGATTTTTATTTTTATTTATTTCTGTCTTAATGTTAACTTATATATATATATATATACACATACATATATATAAACTATCACTTTCTTTTCTTTATTTTATGTTGCTTTATATATTTCAACTATCCAACGCATACCGCAATATCGAAATATATCCAAATAATAATAACAATAATTTATGATAAATAATAATAATAATAAAAAAAAAAAAAAAAAACAAATAAATAATATATCAAAATTTCAACACCTAAAATAAATATGTAATTCACGATGCTCCTGTGTTAATGCTGACTGTATGCTTGTGTTATATATGTACTGAAATATAAACACACACAATATATACATGTGTATATCTATATATGAATATGTGTGAATATTGATGTATATATGCATATATTATATATATTTATATGTATGCATACATAGGCACATGGCATGACCGTAAGTCCTGCGCCAATCACAATCAATCATCCGTATATACATGCTAGTTATCCTGTTATGCCAAATTATATGCAGGTAAGAATGATGCAAACGAACCGAAACGTAAACAACAATTATACAATAATACAATCAAAAAACCATACAGAAACAATTTTGAATAAAACATAATCAAATATAAAATAAATGTTTATACTTAATATAATTTTCAGTTGCCTTTAGTTTACTTTCATTAAACGAATTATAAATATATATATTGTGGCTATTTACGACTTTTACTTTTGATTATGTTTCAACTTATCTACTTTATTTTTATTTTTGTTTAGTTTTTTAGTTATTCATTTTGATTTTTGCCTATCTTAAGTTAAGACTTCACTCTCACTATCAAATCTACCTACTCTGACTATTGCCCTACGCACAGAGCCTTCCGAACTGTTGCCCCGTGCTCTATTTCTATGGTTATGGTATCCACTATCGCAACCCCGTCTCTCTCACTTTCTCACTCTCTCTTTCTCTCTATATATATAATAGGTCTCTCTTGACATATTACTCGAGAAAATTTTGATTTTTCTGTTTGAAAATTCATATTCCTATAAGTTTGATGGGGTTTTAAAATTTTGAATTTTGACATTATTATTATAATTTGTTTTGTAGAGAGATGTTTTCTGAACTGAGTTTTTATTTTCGTTGTATGTCCTATGTAGAGTTCACTAACTAACCCCAAGTTTGGAAAAATCACATATGTATATATATATTTCTAAATATATATACTATATATGTATGTAGCTCACGGCGGCCAATCTCAAATAGCCAAATACTTGTTAACCAACAACTCTTTCTATCCAATAACTTCCGCAACTTATGTCTAATCCTTAGTCGTTCAAGTAATCCTCCAATTCCTTGCATGATTTGGAAGTTTGATCAAATGATAAAATCTGAATCGAGCGTGTTCTAATGAGTTATTTTAATGATTGTAGGGCATGCCGGTGATGGGGCAGCAGCCGAGTATGCTGCCACAAGCAGCCCCTTTGACTGGGGGGCAGCCGACGATGATGGGCGTGGCGCACAGTAATGCGACGGTGCCAGCAGCGACAGGGATCATGCAACCCACGCAGGCGACGCAGAATGGAGGCAATAAAAATGTACCACTCGATCCATTTGGGGCGTTATAAGGCGCCACCTCAACACACCCACACACACAAACACATAAGGAGACACACACAAACACACACATGCACACATTAAGCGCTATAACCTCATAGACAACATTACAAATACACACACACACACACACACAGAGAATACATAATATATGAATATATATTTGCAGATATTATAAAAAGATTAAAGAAAATTCAAATTGAACACAAAAGTAAGAAATTATAAATGTTTACACTATGCTACAAACGAAATGAAAACGCTAAGAATTCTATTATAATGTTGAACAAGCATACATACACACATACACAAATTGCTATATACATATATACATATATATACATATACATATATATTTATATTATTACTATAAAACGTAAAATGAGTTTGACTATTTATATGTATACAACAATTTATATAACTTGTATGCAAGAATTTCCATAATTAGCTAAAGTGAAACCGAAAGCAAATATAAAAACGAAACGTAAAAAAAACAAAAAACATAGTAGCCTATGTGAAATATACCTACATACATATGTGTAAATCCTACATATTAAGTGTAAGCAAGAACCTGTAGTTGTGTCCTACGCCAATCACTAAACCTAAAGCTAAAGCTAAAAACGAAACACACGTCAAATGGAATCTGTTAAATACTGAAATTTATTGTACACTATCGGAAATTATTGAAATCCTTGTAGACGCCATAAAGCTATAAACTATGTTACAATTATGCTTAGATGAGAGCGTATTTGAGCCTCTTAAACAATTTGCAATATTTTAAACCGTTTATAAATCTATTAGTTTCCTATTGTTATCTTTAGTCGATTTTTTCAGACGTTTAGTTTTTGTTTATTGTTAAAAAACGCGAAAATGGCAGTATGGAAAATGTGGAAAAGAACAGTTATTCGTATTTGTAAAAGCATTCCAAGCTAGTTTCAATTTGGTCCCAAATTCAATTTGTATATTTTTAGGTATTATTTCAATTTGCGCTGAGTTGCACTATTATAATTGTATATTTAAAGTGAGTGGAAACCAACTTATATATATTTATATTTATATATATATATATATTTATGTGTATATGCATAATGTTCTAAGGCATGCGTTGTATTAGTCATTTATGAAATTGTTTGATAAACAAACCCAAAAATTAAACAAATCAAATCCAATCCAATATATAAAATAATATATATATACATATACAATATATACATATATATATATATATATATATGTATATATAGGTCATTTATAAATTGTTTAAATAAGCTAAGGGGCGGCAATACGCTGGAACTGTGTTTAAATAAATCTTCGCATATATAATACACGAGATAAACGATTTCTTTTTATTATTACTTATTGTTAATACTCTTCTGTTGCAGTTGAATTTGTTTTTTTCTATGTTTCTCACTTAGCGCTTCTGCAACACGAATGCAAACTTTTAAGAGCCAACTGCCACACTGAGTTTCCTTTTCGAATTGTGCTCTTTAGTATTTAATTTAAGAGATCTGAAATCGAAATCATGTACCTAAAGTATCTCTGACTAATTTTGCGCTGTGCCTACAAGTAGGCGTTAGTTTCTTGTAAATCGCGAGAAATCGCCAAGCGTCGTAGAGTAGGCAACACAAAATACTCTCTCACACAGACACACTCACATACACACACACACAGCAATGCAATAATATTTAGAAGCAACAATCATACATGGAATTTTCATGAAATCTATAGCTACAAGTAAAGATCTAACAAATCAATGTAAATTATAAATTATACACTAAATATTACTATAAATGACAAACAAAAAGAAAAGATGAAATGAAAAAAAAAAAAAGAGTTTTATGACAATATTTGTACGCTGCTGTTTGAGCTAAACCTTAACCCAGAACAAAACCTTTATCTAGGCCTGCGAAGGAGAAATACATTCAAGTACTACCTAAACTAATCAAGTGCGTATCCAACTCTATCTACACCTGAGAATTTCCAAATGAGAGCGACCACTTGTTGATGTTTCCAAACCAAAAAAATCACAAAACTTTGGCATGAAAGGAAACTGGAAATGAAAATTGAATATTTACACTAAAAAAAAAATAAAATAAAATAAAAACAAGCGGAAATTAAAGAATATTAGCTTATCATTGAGAGATATACAAGCATACAGAACTTGTAGATAAATGTAAGAAGTGCAATAGAGTTGATCGTGCACATAATAAATATAAACAATATACAGTTTACTTTAAAACAGAACAAATTGTTAAATGTGTTTCTATTAGTTAATTTCTTGCCCAGCGAAAGCAAAACAATATATGTACACCAAATATTTTCACGAAAATATAGAAGAAATTATTTTATGCAGACTATATAAGTAATACAACAACATACTCAAGTACAAGCTAAGAGAAAATTCTATTGAAACATTTTATGACTTGTATAAGAATTTATGTTTAAAGAAATAATTAAAAAAAAAAAAAAAAAAAAAAAAACAAAAAAAAATAAATAAAAAATGTTAGTGCAAAATAAATGTGTAAAATAAACTCTTGGCGTGTTTTCTTCTTGTAAAAATATTTTTTTATTGTCGATGTGAAGGATTGAATAATTCCAGCGATCTAGTAATCCATCTATGTCATGCACAACATTAGGGACCTATTTACAACAAAAATATTCAATACAACTATACGACTCAACACGTCCACATAACACTAACAGATCTCTAAACTCTTAAACTCAAATACATAATTTATACATAGACATACATAACATAGACAATACACGGTCAAGATGCCATGTTTCAAGCAGGAGAAGAGCCTTGAGTTCCGCTCTCGGCGGGATACCACCAATGATAGGGATCCGATGGCGCCCAAGCCGGTTCGTCCTCGCGCCATGCGCTACCATGGACTCTTTGGCATGTCCATTGCAGCCCAGCATCTCATTGTGGACGAGAAATGGACGCCCAGCTGTATTACCGATCTCTATGGCAACATGGCCGAGCTGCTGAGTAAGTGACCCATCATCCATCCTGCCATTTGCAAAGATTTTGTGGTCTGATCTTGAGTGAGTGTCTAGAGCGGCGCGTTATCTACAAACAGCACGAGACAAGGACCCATCGCGCCCTGCTCCTGGTGGAGAACAAGCGCGTGAAAACTGAATGCGCAGATGGGCGCCTCAAGCTGCAGAAAATCACGGTCGGCAACAATGCGCACCAGATCCGGAACTTTCTGATTATGCACCGGGATATGCAGCGGCTGTACCAGAGGATGCCCATCTATCTGGTCGCCGACAACATCAATCAACGGACCTTCGTTATGCGCAAGGAGCGCGATCGTCTGGACGCTCGACTGCAGCAGCTGAAGCATAAATATCGAGTTTTATTGGTAATATATTGCTGAACTATCGGGTGGATTATCGCAATTCATATTCTGTAACCGAACACACAACAGATGGAGAGGTCCAGGGCGGTAAATATGATTAAGTACGAGAATGAGTATATCCTGCAGGAGGAGCTGCAGTCGCGTGTGCTCCTCAAGAAGATAGAAAACTCGAAGGTGCGCTTGAATGCCATACGCACCATAAATACGACATATAAGAAAATGCGGCAGGTCCTGCTGCAGGATGAGATTTTCTATGAGCCGATTCTGCGCTCCCTCGATGACGATATGGAGGACCAGGTGAACTTCATCAAGCACATACTCTATCTGGGCATGCCGGCCATCGCCAAGTTCAAAGTCCTGAATCGCGAGCTCTTGCAATTGTCGGAGAAGGCTCGCAAGAATCAACTTGCCAAGATTCAGATATTGAACTCGCTGAAAAAGCCAATTGTTATTGGACCACCCCAGGTCGTAGTCAGAGAGATACAGACCAATAATCCCAAGCGTTATCTTCGCCTCACCGAGAGCATGGCGATTCTCAAAGCTGAGCTGCAGACGATTGAAAATACAATCAAAAATCTTCGATTGACCGTTTTGTGTTCGCAAGCTAAGGAGATTTATCCACGGTGAGTGCTTTTAGAGCCCAAGTAGGTTATCTAATAGATACAAGAATTATTGACTTTTTAGCATTAAGACTCAAATGGAAAACAATGAAAAACTAAAACGGGAAATCGAAAAAAAGATGCAGGCCAAACTGATGCTTGAGCAAAAATTGAAATGCTCCACTCTGCTCTCGGATGTACTACTAAACAATCTATCCGAGGAAGAAATTAAGTATGCAGCTCCGATAACACTTGACTTTCATATGTGTATTTATATAGCCCATTTACCTGCCCGACAGTCGTCTGGAGCGCATTAGAGAGCTACAGCTAATGATGAAGAGCGACAATGAGTTTGAGGAGCAAAGTATCGCTCACATACAGAATCGGGCCGATGCCTATGTGCTAATGCGGTATGCTTACATTATATGAGCATCTCTTTTCTGTATAATCTTCCTCTCTCTCTCTCTCTCGGTCGTTACCAGATGGACCGTTTGGAATCTGTGGGAGATCCTTCGTCATGTAGATCGCAATCCTAAACTGTACAAAAGACAATACCCGAATGAATCCTTGAAACTTCCACTTTTGAAATTCGAGCTTTTTGAAATAAGAGCCTACCCCCCCGAACTTTTTGAAGAAGACGGTTTGCAAATAACCCCTTGAGCACTTAAAGCAGAGAAATCTAATCACATTTCCCCTTCTCCACGCAGTTGATTCAATTATGCATTACCTTAAGCGTAAGGTATTCAAACTAATGCAGTCATTCACTCCCGCCATGGCAGCGGCCATTCCCCAAAGTCGAGAGCGTTATCATCGCATTTATTTGGATACCGTTGACCCGGTCAGAGTGTTTGATGATGACCAGCAGGACGGGCCAAAGATCGATGATCTGTTGGAGGACAGGACCCTGGCCTCCATACCGAATCGCAAACAGATCAAGGCGCAGAGCGCCAGACTTGTGGAGGAGGCTACCAGGCGGGACGAATCGTAGCCTTTGGTTTTGGATTCATATCAATAAATTTTCTAGTTTTTTAAATTTCTACAAATATATTAAACGTCCACTGATCTCTGGTTTTATTTTATTGCACAAAGAGGGAAATTTCAGGCTATTAGCTTTGTTTCTCTATAAGGACTATTTTCTAGAGAAAGCGGTGGCTGTGCAGTTGCTTTCAAAATGATGAAATTAAAATCGAATGCCTATGCTCGACTACTTGAAAAAATATTCATTACAATCGCGACGCACATAACAACAACAACAAACTCTAAAACGCAAAATATTTACATATATATATAAAATTATATTTACATATATATTAAAATATTTAAAAATATAAAATACATTCAAAATGCCGTGCGGTGTACGAAGTAAGAATCTATTGGCCCGTCAAAGGAGGCACAAGGGTATTCTTCAACCACTGAGGCTAGCGCGTCCTCGAGATCCCAATACGCATGGACTCCTCGGCACTGCGAATGTCACCCAGCACCTAGTCATTGACGACACCTGGACGCCCACTTCGCTAGTCGAGCAATACACCCATTTGAACAGCCTGCTGGGTAAGTAATTCTAAGCAGCTCTATCGAGTGACTCAACGCACAAACTATGCCCCAGTCGTTCGCAGCATCTACAATAAGTTCGAGAAGGAGGCCAGCCAAAAGCGCATTCGGGCGAAAGCAGCGGAACTGAGAGAAGAATGCCACGATGGGCGCTTGAAACTGCAAAAGATATCGGGCGGCGACAGCGCCCATGAGATACGCAACATGCTGAGCAATCACACGGCTATGCAGCGCCTCTTCCATAAGATGCCCATAGACCAGGTGGCCGACAATATCGATCAGAGCACGTTCGCATTGCGCAAGGAGCGGGATCGTCTACAATCTCGCCTAGAGCAGTTGAAGCGTAAATTGTATCAGTTGCAGGTTTGTATATAGGACAGTCTAAATTCTCTCTCCCTGTAGTGGGCAAAAACTAATTTGACAATTCCAAATAGATAGACCGTTCCAGACTCGAAAACCGCATCAAATATGAGAATGAGTTTGTTTTGGAGGAGGAAATAAAAGCGCGAATTTTACAGAAAAAACTCGATTGCTCAACTGTGAAGGTCAGGGCGATAAAAACGATAAATACCACATACAAGAAAATGGTGCGCATCCTAGTGCAGGATGAGATATATTATGAGCCCATTTTAAATTCACTCGATGATGACATTGTGGACCAGACTAGGATGATTAAGTTTATTATTGACCTGGGCTTGCCTGCCATAGACAGATTTAAGCAGCTCAAGCGACAGTTTCGACGGTTGGAGGAGAGATCGCATGCCGATTTCCAAGCCAAGATCAAATTTGTTGCCGAATTGCGGAGGAGACGGACATTTGTGCCCCTCCCGGCCAAGGACATGCGGCAATCTATTAATATCCCGGAACGCGAACGCTACATGCGTGAGACGAGAAGTATGACGGAGCTTAAGAACGAATCGGTGGCCATTGAGAAAGAGATCAACGAGCTAAAATACAATACACTTTGCGCACAGGCAAACGAGATTTATCCACGGTTAGTATACAAAAACGTTGGGCTTTGTACCACTAATAAAACTGTGTCTGTTTCAGCGCCAAGAGTCAGATAAAGAAAAACCATCAGGTGAGCCGTCATATCGTTTGCGAGCATTTGCGTCGCGATGTAATGGAGGAGAAACAAGTTTCTGCGAATATGCTGCGGGATGTATTAGTCCACAATCTGAACGAGGAGGAAATAAAGTATGTATTTCCTGATTTTTGAAACATATTTTTACATTTTGATTTGCCCGACAGACGACTCACATACATTGAAACACTGAGAAACGAATTGCAAAAAGAAAAGGAGATTCAGAAGGACACGTTGGAATACATCCAGAATCGTGCGAAAGCTTTCATTATGATGCGGTAGAGTCGACTATTTCCAGATAGCTCCCATTGCTCTTGCTCATGAATTTCTATTGTATCCGCAGTTTGTGCCTTTGGAATCTTGCCGAGATCCTGCGATCCATCGATCGCAGCCCCTATTCCACTCGTCGGCGGTATAGAACTTCGTACTTGCGATTGCCTCTACTCAAATTCGAGCTGTACACAATGCTGGCGAAGGCGCCACCGATTTTCAAGGAAGACAGTT